GTATTCTAAACTGAAATTGTTACTATTTTAACCTATGATGATGATTTTTAAATGATGATGATGTTTTTAATCTACGTATTATAAATTATGTTTGTATATGTTAATAATTGTAAAATGTAAAATTGAATGCAATTCAGATGTGCCCGAAGCATTTCGGCACGTCTGCCATGTTGACATTTAATAAAGGTTTGATTTGATTTGAAAATAACCACCAGGTGCAGCAGCTGCTGAAGGGCATGTTGGAGGTGGAGCCTCTACACTTCACCTGCAGCAGCACCAGTGATGGCACACGCATGGAGAAGGCAGACTCAGGTGATACACATGGAATACACACTGTGTAACACACATGTATATTATGGTTTATTATGACATCAACTATATCACAACAGTCGCAGCCGAAGGCTGAATTGATGAAGACTTAGTGATATTACAGAAATTGACTGTAAAACATTAAAAAACATTTTCTGCCCAAGCTGAAATCATAAGCAAAAGTTTACGGTCAACATAATCATTCATTAATACACAACAATTCAGTAACTGTTATTAATAATAAAATTGAAATACCTTAAAATTGGATAGAAAAGACAATTTATAGGGCAAGTTACAGGCACTGATGAAAGTTTGTAGGTGCTTTGGAAAACGAACGCTTTGATGCCTGTATGATATTTCAAATTTGCCTCTTAGACAGCAAAAAGATGCAAGTTTGTTGTACATGTATCAATGTGAGGAATACACACATGTACACACTGTCGTTATTTGTTGTCTCGAATTAATAACTCTCACAATGTTAATAAGTTGACTTGCCTTGTAGTTCTAAGTTTGTTTCTCAAATTGTATTATGTGATTTGATTACTTTTTGTATTGTTTTGTCATTTTATTGGCATGGCGGCTTTCAAAAGGTGTTTCATGTCAGAAACACCTGTTTCGCCATGCCATCCACTGTGCATATTGTACGTGGTAAAACTTAATAAATAAATAAATAAAGGAATCGTACCCTAACATATCCCCTGCCCTCCCCCCAGCCCCGTCCCTCCCCACCACCAGCGGCATCTCCGTGGTGGCCCCCATGAGCGGTACCGGCACCACGGCCATCGCTGGCGAGGGGAACAGCTCCGTGCAGTCCGCTGCGGAGGCTGCGCTGGCCTCGCTGCAGAACGCCATGGCCTCGGCCGAGCAGCAGCTCAGCGCTCTGCAGCAGAAACAGCAGCACCTCATCAAGCTGCAGCAGCAGGTAAAGCATCCGAAAATAGTTTCATCAGGTTTTTAAAGTATAGCGTATATGGGTTTTCTTTTACACAACTCCACCTTGCTTACCATTTCGGTGTCTGTCAGAACCTTTGTCAGAACCTTTGTCAGACCTTTGTCAGAACTTCTGACTGGAGTTCTGCTTCTCGCCATCTACATTGTAAATCAGCTACATATAGCAGCGAGAAGCAGAACTCCAGTAAAACTGGGTCATAGCAGTCTTCACTGAAGCATGACCTCTCAAGTTAACGAAACAAGTGAGCTAAGGTTGCTTTTTTTTAATCTTTGTCTCGGCTACAGTAATCATTATTACATTTTGTGGTTTCATTTACAATTCTCTTTCTGCTGTGTTCCTGTCTCTGTGTTGTGCATTCCTGTCACTAATGTTCACATGGTATGGTACATCCCCATTCTTACCATTTCACCTCACATTTGAATTGTTTGCTGTTTCTGCTTTTCCTTCTTTTATGTTCCATCATTTCTCTGGACTGGATTTTTTAAATCCATTTTTCCATCATTCTTACTGCTTACTTTCGTGTTTGAATAATTCTTGTTTTCCATTTCTGCTTTTCCTTGTTTTATCATTATTCTTGGCTCTCATTTCTGCCATCCTTTTTTTTTCATCAATTTTGTAAAATATACTGATTACTTGTTCTTTGTAATCCTGTCATCTCACGAATGTAAAATTTTGGTGCAATTCACTTCTTCTTGCCCACTGCATGTTGGTTTCTTTATTGGTGCCAATTTTCTAAATGACATCTTTTTGGGCATGATCATTTCTTGGGCTTGATGATCAGTTTCCAACATTCTTCCCATCGTTAACCTCCCAGAAACCTAAACAGATCAAGCAAAAGGAAGAGAAAATCAATGTACTTAAAACTCTGCCATCTGTACACAAGTAATGAATGCAATGTGCAAAAAGTAACACCAAGAGGTAGACCGTGTCCTGAGAAGACACCAAAGCATTGGCCATGTTTTGGAAGATGACTTTAGCACTGGTATCACCTAGCCTGGGTGCCATCCTATTTGTATAGTATTACTTACTCCCTTTTTTGGGAACCTTGGTATATACAAGTAGGATGACATCCATTGTTACCCACTCTGTTTTGCTACAACTTACTTTTTGTTTTGTATGGTTTATGGTGCCTTTCTTTTCATTTTGCTTTTCAGTTTGCTGTACTTTCTGCATGGTTGTTCTTTTTCTGTTCTTGTGCACATTACGCCCAACCCAAGTTGGAGTGTATTTTGACAATGCGCCATAACTTTGGCCATGTTTTGGGCAGTGAGAACTTTGCTTCGACTTATCTTTTTCTATACTTTATGGTTTCGCTTTTCATCCTGTTAACCTGATTTTCTCTACTTTTTGCATGATGATTCTGATTTCTGTTCTTGAACACACGTTATTCTCCCTGTGTGCTCCTCTGTATACTTCCTCTCCTCCTTGGACCGCCTGCTCCAGTGTCCTGCGTTTATCACCGCGTCTCTACTTCCACCCCAGAAGCAGAAGCTGGAACAGAAGCTCCAGGAGTCCAAGATGGAGGCCAACCTGGGGAACAACATCAACCCGGCGCCCATGTTCAGCTACACCACCGAAACCGTCTTCCCCCCGACGCCCAAGTCCACCCCCCTCTTCATGACCCCCCCTCTCACCCCCCCGAACGAACCACAGTCCGGGGGGCAGAAGGCAATCTCAGGATTCGGAACATTCCTCTCTTCCTTCCCCCTGCCTGAAAAGCCGCCGACGTATGCACAGGTGCTGCAGCAGCAGGGAAACAAAAAGGTTTGACATCACGTTAACTTATTACTTTAATCCATGAATAGTTTCATCAGGTTGGTAAGAGACTCTTTTTACACAATGGGGTGTTTTACTCAGCTGACATTTCAGTGACCGTCTTTTACCTTCCTGAGGGCAATTCTGAGTCTGACATTGCTCAGCACAGGTTTTGCTGCTATTATTAATACATGTACGTGTAAATCCAAATGGAAATACTTCTAAACACTTGATACTGTAAAAAGAGTCTCTTTATTCTTTACTTACTTTGATGCAAATGTTTTTGTGTTATCCACAACTTGAAGAGTGTGTGTTATTTCTTTCCAACTTTCCTGTACCTACTGAATGTCACTGAATGGCAATTTGGCTTGAAGTTTTGGTAGATACTAGTACTTAGTACTGGTAACATCTTTCCTTGCTAACCTTGATCTGTGTCTTATCCCTGACACACAAACGTGCGTGGGTCAGTGCCTCTTGTTTCAAGGTTCATATAACTGGTGGGGTTTAGAGGCTTTTAGTGGGGCAGATAACTGAAATAATCTTTCAAATTGTGATACAAGCACCAAACTTGGTACAAATACTCATGAGACATTACTCTTTTGAAAAAGTATGCGGGCCACTTGATTTGACTTTTGGGGCCCCCTAGCGGCGCTTGTTGGTACTGCAGCCGGCCTTCTGGGCTTTGTATCTCCTGTTCTAAACATGCTAGAGTCATGATTTTTATGTGGCAGAAAGCTGTTAAAGTAAGGACGGGGTGACGTAAATTTGGTGTCTCTAGCTGCTTGCGTTGAAACTGCAGGAGCGTTTTTTTGCCAGTGCAAAAATTTGCTCCAAGGGCGCTTTTTGGTACTGCAGCCGACCTTCCGAAGCAAAAAAGCGCCCTTGAAGCAAATTGTGCACCGCCAAAAAAACGCCACTGCAGTTCTAATGCATTCCTCCAAAATTTGATGTTATCTGCTCCACTATTTGAGTCTTCCTTGGCTCCAATTCTGAGCAAACCCAGCTCACTCTAGACTTACCTTTTATGATCTCCAGGCAGATCCTACACTGTAGCAAGGCAGTATCTATTGGCCAAGGAGCAACCATCAGCCACCACTCACTCCTTGCCAATGGATACTGCCTTGCTACAGTGTAGGATCTGCCTGGAATTAACTTTTCTACCCTGTCACAGACATACGACAGACAGACATACAGACTACCAGAAATTAGAGGGAACTAGATGAATTTTCTTCATTTTTTGATGAGAGTTTATTAAAAATTTTGTTAGTTGATGAACTTTGAATTTTCTTCATTCCTTGACAAGAGGTTATTTGTTAGCTCCAATGCTGACCTAAACCAGTCCTTGCAACCCCTTGCTATATGAAGCTTGTAACCATTGTAGATATGCAGACATACATGTACATGTATGACAGCAAGCAAACAAACTACCAGATCTTATGCATCTTATTTGAGAGCTTACTTGTACTTGTTACCTCAAATTCTGATCTTAACCGGTCCTTGCCACTCTTGCAGTGTTCGAAATACCTGTCTGCAGTCTGCAATCTGCAGATAGATTTCAAAGATTGCAGAAGAAAAATTTATACAATCTGCAATTTTGCAGCAGGAAAAATTGGCACTTGGGATTTGGCGCTCTTGGCCCCAAGGACAGACAAAACTTAAGCTCCTGTTCTGAAACAACAGGAGCTTCTTCACTAATTTACATCAACTTTGTCTTGACTTGTCTATCTTTTGTTTCCTTTTGGACTTCCAAAAATTTGTCTTCACTAATTTGCATATAAATCAATAGTTCATGCTTATAAACCTGCAAGATTGTAGTATAGAGGCTTGTGTATTTGCAGAAAGTATTTCCAAATTGCAGAACAAAATTTTGACTCTTCTGCAATATTGCAGAACACTGAGAAAAAGTATTTCGACCACTGCACTCTTGCTATATGAACCTTGTAAGCCTGGGTGTTGGTTGGTGTGTGTTGGGATGAAGTGGTGTGTTTCCTTTCCTCTCCTGTCTGACCTCCAGTATCACCACATCACACTCATGAAGAACCCTACGCTCGCCTGGCAGGGTGCCGACCCCGCCCCGCCCCCGCCCCCGCCCGAGGGGCGCCCGGTCCACGCCGTCAGCACGCACCTGTACTACCACCTGCTGCAGCCGCCAGTACCGCAGGTGCTCACCATCGAGAGGATGCACTCAGGTACTAGGCTCTGTTTATTTATTATTTGTTTATTTATTGTTTGCACGTACAAAAAAAGTTACATAATCAAATAATAACAATAAGAGAATATGCGGGGTAGGCCAGAAACCTAGGTGGTTTTTTAAAGGGCCTACCCCAAGTTAGGCTCTGTTCAAGTTAAGATAACATCATAGTTCACATCATCACTCAGGTAAACTCTGTTCTGCTCTGGCCAAGTGCATTGCGGAAGTTTGACTTTTACTGACACTTTATTTGGAGACACTGGAGGTGAATTATTATATGGTAACTTGTGGGCTATTTGGAGGGAAATCTGTACTACAATGTGACTTGGCCATTGGTCCCAGCTGTCACAGGCTGATAGATGATGATGATGATGAAACTCTGTTCCAAGCATTAAGTTAACATTATACTTAAGCCACATCTGAAACCGAACGGCCTTGTACACAATCTAACTTGCATTAGGCTGCGAAGCATTTATGTTGTACATAACAAGACAATAAAGACCTGAGAATCTGTGATACATATTTAGATAAGGTTACACATTTTAGAGTTATGCTCTTTTTGAAAGTAAGATACAACTGTTGGAGCTTTGGGACAGATTCAAAATACAACCTGTGTATTTCATTTCAATCTTGTAAATAGAAGTAGGGGTTCTCAAGGTAGTTATCTACATGTAAGTTCCAGTCTATGCTGGGGAAAAGTGTTGAGTCTATGGAATCATCTAACCTAAGACATTCCGCCCTTTCTTCTTCTACAAATGTAGGTGCGCGCAGGTTTGCTGTTCTGGATTTCGGTCGATAGGTCCTGCTGATGGACAAGGACCTTCCCATCCCATTAGAAAAGTCCAAGTGTTACAGTGTACATTGTATGTACATGTAGCTCCCTAACCTAAGACAATTTGCCCCTCCCATCCATCTCCAGGTTTGCTGTTCTGGACATCGGTTGGCAGGTCCTGGCTACTTATCGAGGGCTATGTTTGAAATAGTCAATCTAAGTGTGGTGAGTGTATACATGAACAACCCTAACAGAAGATCCTCCCCTTGTGTCCAGGTGCACCCACAGGTTTGCTGTGCTGGATTTCAGTTGGTAGGTCCTTCTGATGGATAAGGGCCCTCCCATCTCATTAGAAAAGTCCAAGTGTGTGTATGCAACCCCCTAACTGAAGATTCTTCCCTTTATGTCCAGGTGTGCGCGCAGGTTTGCTGTGCTGGACTTTAGCTGGCAGGTCCTGCCGACAGACATGAAATAAAAATCAAAACTGATTTATCAAAAGTAAGATATAAATGGTGGGGGTTTGGGACAGACAGATATAAAATACAGCCTGTGCATTACTTACCTTTTAAATAACTGTTCTATCTAACTGAAGATATTTTGCCCCTCCCTCCCTTCCACTCCCAGGTGCGCGCAGGTTTGCTGTTCTGGACTTCGGTCGGCAGGTGCTGCTGACAGACATGGTGATCCCGGCGTGCGGCGACCTGTCCTCGCTGTCCGTGGATGTGTGGACGCAGGGCGAGGAGGTGGACGGACGGCGCCTGGTCGTGTCCACCGACATCGGCACGCGCTCCCTGGTCCTCACCGACCTCATGCCCCCGCCCATCTGCAGGTTTCTCAAGGTAAAATGCAGCAGGTCTCTCAAGCTATAAAGTATTAAGTACAGCAGATGTGGGTACAGCAGATTTGGGTACAAAGACAAATCTTCTGTCTGGATCAGCTTAGTATTGAAGAAATGTTTTTAAATGTGTAGTACCTTACAGCACTAAGTTACTGGTAAGTTACAACTTACACTGAAATGAAAATGAAAGGTAGAGTTACTGTAATAAACATAATTAAAAAGATCTTTCTGCCTGCCTTCATTGACGTAAAGCAGTAATTTGCTAAAAGATAGACTACAGCTTTAAACTCAGTGTTCGTCTCTTCCACACAGATCACAGTGATCGGCAGGTATGGCAGCGGCACCACGCGCTCTAAGATCCCGGTGGGGCAGTTCTACGGACACACGTGTATCTTCCCCTGGGAGCGGGAGGCAGCGGGCAGCAGCGGTGCCGAGGAGGGGCAGGGACGGGTGGCCAGCGTGGAGCAGCATCTACAGCTGCTGGTCGCACTGCAGGAGGACATACAGTGCAGGTTAGTCATTTTCAGACACCTATTTATTTATTTAAATTGCCAACACTGCAATACAGTGGAAGCCCTGGCAGCTGAGCTGATGTCGGGCCCCACATTGTGAAATACATACATACATAATCATACACACATCATAACACAATAAAGTCACAAATCACAGAAATCTCTTATACTTACAATCCATAACCTAATGACAGTATAAAAAAAAGTAACAATATAACTCAGTATGGTAGGAGGCCAGAGGTCATTCAAATATATTTAATATTAACAATATTTACAGTGTTGTAGGAATAGATGGAAGGACTAAAAGTTTAAAAAGGTTCATTGATGAAATGTAAGTAAGTAACATCGTGGCAAGTCCAGACATGCTGCTGGCTGCCATGATGCCCCTACGACCGTTGAGGTTATGGGACTTACATACATACATACATACATACAAGTATGAAGAGCAGCCGAAAGGTTTTGATCTGTAAGAGGGTACAAATCAGAACCTGTCATTGCTGCCCTAAAGGAGGCGACAGACAGTTGAAAAAAGAACCTTCTCATACCAAAGATGATAACTGTCAATATGATTTAGAGAAAAATCCTTCTGATTGTAATTTGTTAAACCTATGCATTTTTGAAACTTGGAAATCATTTTGTATGACAGAAAACAACTAGTCTTGCATATATATGAGCCATACACAATCATGACTCTTGTGATAACTTTATACAACAGTCTGTTGATGAAGGTTAGACATCTACTAGTAGGTAAGTGATACTTGACAATTCAAACTCTACTACTGGATAGAATACAGAGTATTAAATATAAGGAACTGGAAAAAATGGTTGAACATGACAAAGACTTCTATATACATTGTATACATATGCAATGGTCCAGAAATGTTTTATACTTCAGTATGTCTTAAAAGTTTTGTCGATTCCTACACAGGTACAGCCTGGCCTGTAACCGACTGGACAGTTTGTTGAACAGTCTGGACCTTCCTCAGACCACCTGGGGCCTGGCCTCCCTCAAGAGGGGCACTCCTGAGACTAAGGAGGAAGATGTGAAGGTTCAACAGGCTTATAACGACTGTATACAGGTGAGGAGGGGCAGACAAGGCTGGTGACTTCAGTCTGAAATTAGCATGTTGGCGTACTGCGTCTATGCAAAGTGCCTGGATTTTTCAGTTTTAGTTGGATGTTTGGTCAAAATTGCTCATTGCAGACAATATCTTTTTGATACAACAATTAAAACTATAGACAGGATATCATCCTTAAATATGTGAATACAGACTTAAACAAGGCATTCTGCAGACATGCACTGCCAGGTAAAGTTACAACTTAGTGAGGTTAGCTATACTGTACATAATGGGTCAAGGACTTACCAAGTGGTGCAGTTTGACTATTGCCCCAGAATGTTAAGACTCCGTTGCTTAACTTAATGACCAAGAACAGGTCCACGTGTATACACGTAGGTGTACTAAATGTTTAAATTCTTGAGCTTTGAGTTCAGCTTTGAACATCCTTAATGTACTTTCAGTGGACTTTCAAGGACTTCTTGAGTGTATGCAGGTGGGGAGGGGTGGACAGGGCCGGGGATTTCTAGGCTAAAATTATAACTTAAATTTAGCGTTGAGTTAAGCTTTTGACTCAGAGGTTCCTTACTGTATTAGATGGATCCAAGACATTCCAAGTCAGGTAGTTCAACTAGGAGAAGTGCCACTGAGTGTTCAACCTCGTTTGCTAGAAGGAGTTTAACAGTTGTGAAGGATGAGGACATTTGGACAAGGCTGGTGATTTCAGGGCGAAATTATAAATTAAGTGAGTTTAGATATGAGGATCCTTACTGTACACAATGGATCAAGAACTTCCCCAGTGGTACAGTTCGACTAGAAGGATTGATGGTTTTTAACCTTCTCCTGAATGAAGTAGCCTTTCGCAACAAACTTATATTGGTCTACAGTGTTAGGCAGCATGTAGAAGGTTAATGAATAATGAGAGGATAACAAAAACCGTGCAGGAATGCTACAGTTTATGTCCATGACCTGGTTCCACTGGCTAGGAAAACGGCCACTGGGAGGACCTTAAGAAATGGAGCTGCACTCACAGTACCAGCAGCCCGCACCAAAAGACTGAAAAACTCTTTCTTACACAAGGCAATACGCCTGTACAACGAGTCATTGTAGCAATGACTTTTAAGACTCTGGACTTTCATCATCATCCTTTACTTTACTTCACTGACTTTACTTCAGTGCCCTTGTGTATTGTGTGACTTTGTAACATGTTCGTTTGCGTGTCTGTATATTGTATTGTCATGTAAATGTGTATTTGTATCTACTATGCACAAAATTTGTAAAAATCAGTGTAATTCAGCTTGGTCGACTTTGTAAACGGGCTGCAAGGCTGATTTTATTAATAAAACTTGAAACTTGAAACTTGTTTAATGTTGGTAAGTTGGGAGTAACCCGTGTTTGTTACTTACAGCTTCAGCTCCAGTCCAACCTGGTACACCATGCCATTGCTCGAATCATGAGGGCTTCAGCCGGTCTGCCCACCTACCATATCCCAGCAGCCAGCAACCTCTCCCAACAACTGAGGGTCTCGTCTACTGACAAACTCAGGTTAGAACAAAGGCAGCTCTGAAAACTATTCTGCTGTAGTAGGTTTTTTTTGTCCATTTTGTCCAGATGTGATTGGTCATTAATTATTAAAAAGTTCAACATTTCCTGGGAATGATAGTTGCTAAGAACAGTTGCCTGTTGCTTCCAGGGTTCTATCGGAATCCTTACTAGACATCCTGATCAGCCTGAGCACATCTCCCAGCCTCCCGGACACAGACAGTGCAATAGTGGACTTCTTCCAGCCGGATGTGTGCGAGCGCCTGTTTAAGGTAACAAAGCTAGAACAGTTACTGTAAGATTCACGAAAAGCCCTATTATGTCACATCATCATATTCCTTGTCATCCTGGCGGACGATCAGTTCACTAATGTATGTTGGCCCGGCGGTGTGCAGCTAACCCGACTTCTGCAAGGCTTGCTGCAGGTCACACTCGAAGACCCGGTGCAGTTCTTGATTTATGTGTGAACACATTGGCAAGGTATAGTTACTGTAGTGACAGCTTGCCATAGCCTATTATGTATGCAACAACTTGAGTGACGTCAGTATCTTGACGCATGTATGTAAGAATATGACTGGTTCAAAGTGTAAGGAAAATTTGACACTGGGACAATGTTAATTTACTGGGACAATGTTAATTTCAAGCCCTGAGCACTACTTGTAAATAAACAATTCTCTCTCTCTCTCAGCACCTGTGTGTGCACGGCAGCCCCACGCTGCGACAGAAGGCGGGGGGACTGCTGCTGAGGCTGTGCGGGGCGCAGGGCTGGTGGGGAGACTTCCTGGCCAGGGGGCTGCAGGAGCTCTTCAACTCCGAACAGAACGTGCTGTTTCCTCAGGACAGGTGAGATTAATTTGGATGATGATGCCGTGTTTGCTAGAATTGCGTCTCTGACATGAATATAGCATTGAAAAGACACCTTGTATGTTTCTGAACAGAATGACAGGTGAGATTTTTATCACAATAAGAATGTTCTGTTTGCATAATCAAAAGTCTCTAACAATTAGATGTCAAAAGACATGGTGATGTACATTTAAGTTAACCACAACAAATAAGCCTGCACATATACACCCATGCTCATATACCTCTGCACAAGGAAACTGTTACTGAAGCAACTTGATAGATTTTTAAATTGATAATCTTTACAGTAACTGTTGCTCAAGTTGTGTCTGTAACAGTTTTTTTGTGTGTCTATCTGGATGTCAAACCTTAATTTTTTTATTTATTTATTGAATCTTCAGACACCTGGGTGGCCTAGTTCAATTTTGACAAATTGATTTTCAATAGGGCCCAGTACATAAATACAATAAAATCAGACATACAGATACAAACAAAGACCGATATAAACAAATCCGAATCGTTATCCATAATTCGTGTCGATTAAACAGTCCAGGTCGACTTTCCGTATGGAGGTCAGAGGTCAATGTACACAAAGATTAGGTAATTGAGTTCTTCAGAGCAGTTTTGAAAGATTTCAAAGATGTTTGTTCTGTGATGTTTACTGCGAGAGAATTGAAATAATTTACACCCCGGTACACTCTACGTTTGTTTCCCAGATTATTTGTGCTGCTGACTAGCCTGGGTCAGAAGTCCATGTCGGTCAGCACCTGTGGGGGGATCCTGGAGAGCCTCCTGAGCCTGGTATCCAGGCTACTGGCCCCCCTGCAGCAGAGAGACAGCGCGGGACAGGCGGACAGCGTGGCGGAGGAGCTGGGGGCGCTGGACCTGCCGCTGGTCAGCTGGGTGCTGCTGTTCCTGTCCAGGATACTGGACAGCACGGCCAGCAGGGGCAACGGGGACGAGGAGGACAGCAACGGCTGCCCTCCCCGCAAGGTCGCCAGGGAGGACGAGGGTGGGTACAGCAGCTGTCTCAATTGTTTGTACATAGGAGCGGTAGGTACAGCAGCTGTACAATTGTTTGTGCATAGGAGCGGTAGGTAAGCTGCAGCAGCTGTATAATTGTTTGTGCATAGGAGCGGTAGGTACAGCAGCTATACAATTGTTTGTACATAGGAGCGGTAGGTACAGCAGCTGTACAATTGTTTGTGCATAGGAGCGGTAGGTACAGCAGCTGTACAATTGTTTGTGCATAGGAGCGGTAGGTACAGCAGCTGTACAATTGTTTGTACGTAGGAGCGGTAGGTACAGCAGCTGTACAATTGTTTGTGCATAGGAGCGGTAGGTACAGCAGCTGTACAATTGTTTGTGCATAGGAGCGGCCTCCGCGTCTGTTTAAGGCTTGCTCTGCTAGTCTAACTGACTGTATTCTCACTGGAAGTATTGTAACATTGGGGGCACCACATCCGTGTGTGTCATCATCAGTGTTAGGACACCCTTTAGACATTGGACTAGCCGAGAGACCAGGTGGGCGTCACTCCACTGTACTAAAAAGAAAGATGTGTGAAGTGCCTTTCCGAAGGGTACAACGGCCTGGCATGTCAGTGGATTAAAACCTCCTGGACAACTTGGTTCCAAAGCTCTGACTAATATGCCACATGATGCCATACTCAGCTTATGTCACAGATAAATAGCAGTATTTGTTTGAATCAAACAGAGTAACCTTCTTGTATTGATTTCTAGGAAACAATTTCCCTTCTCGATGGGACTTTGTGGGAAACGAGATGCAGCCTCCCAACTCCCAGTCCAGCTCTAGCAGAACCGGCGCCACCAAACTGCTGCGGAGAAAACTGAAGAAAACTCTGCTTCATCAGAAACAAGAGATCCTCGACTTACAGGTGGGACTGGACCTCCCAAACAGAATACATGTACATGTATATTGTAACAGTCATGTTTACCTTCGCAGAAGGAAACATAATTATTGTTTTTGCTCTGTTTCTTCTTCTTCTTCACCAAACAAATAAGGTCAATGACCAGAACCAGAAGGCTGTCACCATGGTAACTGGTGCTGTAGCAGACACCCTGCGGTGTTGGCTTACATTATGTAGCAAGTGGCAGGACAGAGTTGGAGGGGGCAGTTTTCATATTGAAGTAAATGCATAGTTCAGAAACACCCCTATCATAATGTCGTTGAAATGTTTTCGCCCGGCCGATGGGCGGCCGTCTGTATGTTGCAATTGAACCGCCAGCCGCCTTACTATTCCCAATCTGCAAAATATAAAACTTCACGGAGAATTGTCGCCTAAGACTACTTGTTTTATTTATTTATTTATTTTAAACCGGACAGTGAGTGAGTAAGTTTTACCACGTATAATATGCACTGTGAATGGCATGGCGAAACAGGTGTTTCTAACATGAAACACCTTTTCAAAGCCGCCATACCAATAAAAATGACAAAACAATACAAAAAGTAATCAAATCGCATAATACAATTTGAGAAACAAATGAATAAACTTAGAACTTAGAACTTATTTGTTACTGAGAAAGTTAAACATTGTATTGACACGTCGCAGGCCAAACAGAAGATGTTGATGTCCAGCCTGAAGGGCGGCAGTGAGCCAAAGTCCAGCTATGAGAAGATGCAGCTGAACGTCTTCAAGAAGCAGATGAAGGCCCATGCAGATAAGGTGGTGGGACAGGAAGACTCTTTCATTCTTCTTGTGATAATTAAGAGGATGGAATAGCTATTAGCACGATGAAGACTTAGTGATTTTCAGATGAAAGAAGATATTGTAGGAAATACTAAAGGGTTATGAAATTAGCTGTTTTATAGGGCTGTATAGAGATTAGAAATTGCAGTCCTACAATGTACATGTAACCAATATATAAGAAAACAGCAACTGTTACACAAGCAACATTACTGGATGGTATTAGATGATGCAAGTAGCATCCAGTACTTTTCGTAGACTCTTTTATTTTTCTTAATTTTGAAGATTATAGAGATTGGATGAGGTAGTGATATTTTCAGATTGCAGATTGAAGATGTTCTAAGAAGTACCGAAGGGTTGTGAAATATCTTAATATAGAATACTACACAGTGTACATCCACGCTTGGTCCCAGCCAGACTGTGGGTCAGATTGCCCACCCATAGAAAACATGCAACATGTTCTGAAATTTTGTGTCCCTAAACAAAAAGTTGTAACAACATCAATTTCAATCTCCAAATCAGATATTGAAATTTGTGAAAACTGTGCACATGGTGCACACAAAATGCTTTCGAATCATTCTACCATAGAATATTAACAAGCCCCGTGTGATAACCATTAGAACGTACTGTGAGTGATACAGCTAGTTATCACATGGGCTGGAACACCCATATCGAATGTTATCCCAGCCGACATATGACATAAAACTAATATTTTCAGGAGGAGTTATAATCCAAAGTTAAACCATAGTTCATGAAGCATCCTTCCAGGCCAGATAAAGCTCTTTGATCATCCCCCCGCAGCATTTCAAGGACATCATGACCCTGAGGAGAACGACCCACCCCAGCCTGTACCGTCAGGAGGAGGAGGGGGCCACGGACTCCGGGCGGGGCAGCCCCGAGACGGACCTGGTGCTGTGCCAGCTGGGCAGGAAGCAGTGCATTCCCGTCGTCAGGGGCCTGGTGGCGCTGCTGCTCAACATGGACTTCACCTGCCACGTCGACCTGTTCCTCGTCATCTGTAAGGTAGGTGGTACTGCAGCCGACAGGCTTGGCTTGCTGATGGCTTGTTTGACTATATAAGTCGTGGTATGTACTAACTAAGTGTTATGCTGTTTTGAGAAATGGAATCCAAGAAGAATAGATTAGATTTATTAATAGCTTAGATTTATTCTAATCTATTCTTCTTGGATTCCATTTCTCAAAACAGCATAACACTTAGATTTATTCTAATCCATTTCTCTTTTGACCCCCCCCCCTCAGGTGATAGCCCGGATCTCAGGCGCCACCCGTCCAGCCATCACGCTGTCAGAGATGATGAGTGAGAGACAGTTAGAACAGCTACTGCTGCTGTGTGTGGGGTCAGACTACAACAGGGGCAGCATCTCATGGGGAGGGCCCTGGGCACACCACGCCATCACCTGTCTCATGAAGGACGTCCTGGAAGGTTTGTTTGTTTGTTTGTTTGTTTATCAGACTACAACAGGGGCAGCATCTCATGGGGAGGGCCCTGGGCACACCACGCCATCACCTGTCTCATGAAGGATGTTCTGGAAGGTACACAATGTACATGATCTCTTTGTTGGCAGTGTGGCAAGGTAGTATCCAATTGGCTTCGGTTGCAGCCTGGCCAGTTGGATGCTGCTTTGCCAGCTGGTTGCAATTTTGCCAACAAAAGAGAATCTGCTTGGAGATTAGAAAGTACAGTCTGTAATTTTGGAAAATGAGTAAAGATCCTTGGTGTTTAACAGTTTATGCAATAGCTGACTGTTTTTTAAGCTAAGTTTGGTTTAACAGTTAGGTAGAATATTCATCAATCGGTGACTGTTTTGAAAAGTAGCAAACACGTACCTCCAATTTTTCGACGTCAACTGTACGTCTTGATCACAGAGTGATCTAGTCTTGCAAGAACACGAGACTAGATTGAGACTTGTGTAGATCTTCTGGCCTCCGCCACCTCCTTACAGTGTTCTGATTGATGAATATTCTTCTATCTGTTAAACTATACATGACTGATGAACCTCTTCAAACGGTATTAACTTTTGCTATCATGAAAGTTCATCTGTGTTGGTAGTAATCATAGTAAAACATTGAACTTTATTCCAACACAAGGGTTACAGAGCGATCAAATTTTCGACAACCACTGTCGTCTTCATCAGGATAATTAATGACCAATCACTTTACAACGTGATCTTGCGAGAGTCACGGTATACAAACACGTGACCTTATTCACATGAGATTTTACTGATACATGACGTAAGCAATTGATCAAAACTCCCTGGCACTTTCGATCAATTGCTTACGTCACGCATCAGTAAAATCTCGAAAATTTGATCGCTCTGTAACCCTTGTGTTGGAATTAAGTTCAATGTTTTGCTATGGTATTAAATTTCACTCACTCACTCACTATCCTGGTTTTGATTATACTGCTGTCGGTTTCCCTGTCCCAGGGGTGGGCAGCAGTCGGCTGTTCTGGACACCACGCCTCCAGCTAGCTCTATCCTGTGGGTCTGTGCTGGACAGACCACACTCCTTGATATCCTTCTGGATACACTCCACCCAAGTTTTTATAGGCCTGCCATGGCCTCTGTTGCCTGGCAACTGCAAGTCCACAATGGTGTTGATGCAGCCACTTGCTCTTTTAACGTGCCCGTACCATCGGAGGCGTCGTGACCGCATGACAGACTTAATGTCTTCTAGGCTGAGCTTAGCAAGCAAGGTTGCAGAAGGTGTTAAACTATGGTATTAACTTTGGTTTGTGTATTTCCCCAGGCGAGAGACTGTACCCCATGACCTGCTCCCCGGGGGTCACACTGGAAAACACCCCTGACGAGGACCTGATGGGGGAGGTGGAGGGGGAGGAGACACCCCCCTCCCCGCCCTCACCCCCCTCCGAGTCCCCCCCTAGCGTAGAGGAGAACAGCGAGGGGATGGACACCTCCGAGGCCAAACAGGACCTGCCCAGCGGATCCACCCCTCCCACGGCTAATGGTACAGTCCACATTCTCTCTCAACTTTGTGCACTGTAGATATACGTCTTACACAAACATTGTACATGAGGAATAATTTACAGATGAATGTCAACATGCTAATGGTAGGATCCAAATTATCTCCCAATGTTATACACTGTTCTGTGGTTGACTGTTGGTAGTTCTGTGAGATACAGCTGACACAGACATTGTACATTGTGAGGAGTGAGTTACGGATGAAGTATAGCAACAAGTTGATGGTATGATCCAAGTTCTCTATCAACTTTGTTCTGTGGTTGACTATTCTGTTTGTACTGTAGTGATGGTAGATATAGCTAACACAAATATTTTGTTACATTGTGAATGTGAGGAATAATTTACAGATGAATAGCAACATACTAATGGTATGATCCAAATTATCTATTAATTTTGTACACACTCTGACACTGTTCTGTTGTTGATGCTAGATACGTTGTACATAGAACACAACGCACAAATTCATTGTACATGTTACATTGTGAATGCAAGGGAAAGACTTACAGATGAATATAGCAACAATAGTACAGTCATCATTCAATATTAATTGCTTGCCAATTTTACTTTTTTGTATTCGGTACAAGTCAAGTTAATTTCCCATCACTGGGATGGCGCGTAGTGTACGACTAATTGTCAAGTATTGACATGTGTACATTTTAGTAACATTATCATAGAGATGTTGGCATAGAGCCAACCCAACATTTAAGTCACTGATTACTACACATACATGTAGTACTTATGGTTCATTTTCATAAGAGATGTTGGCCATGTCACAGCGCATTGGCTTGCAGTAGAACCTACATGTATAAGTGTGTGTAGATCTGTGGAACATAGCTTTTAATATCACAAAAAGAACATAATGAGGAACAGTAGAAGGTGAACTCCTGTGTGAAAGTTGTCCTGTGTTTTGACCTGTGCTGTGTGTGTGTGAACTGTCACTCAGCACTACATGTAGGGCTGTGTACCTAATACCCATACCTGTACCTGTACATGTACCTGTAAAATTATTCAGGTACAGGTTCGGACCTGAACATCTGGTGGACCTGTACCAGAATGATACAAAACACTAGTGGACACTATTTGTACACTAGAAAATTAATGTAAATTAAGGTAAATCATTGCATCTCAAAGACAGCTGGTGTGTTACGCCGAAAGGCGGTTATACCGGCTATACAGATACAGATACCGTAACAGCAATTTTGACAATTCAGCACTTGGAATTCGGAAAAATTGAATGTAAGTATTCTTATTTTTTAGATTAAAATATGCAAACCCACCCGCAAAGATAACAATTTACTACACTTTAAAAGATTGTTGGCCACATATGTAACTCAGATGAATGACCAAACCTGTTTAGGTACACGTACATGTATACAGGTCCAGACCTGTACCTTACCCCTTGTACCTTACCCCCTGTACCGCTGTACGTAAGATTTGATTAGGTACACAGCTCTACTCAGTCAGCACCTCTCTCTAACATGGCCATCTGACATCTTGGCATTTTGTCTGCCCCAGGTGACGGATTGCTTGACTTTGTACTTTTCAAGCCTCCATGCAAGTATCCTCCATAAATAACCACTTGGGCAGCGCCTGTTTAATCAGTTGGTTCTCGGATTTGCCCCGAGATTTAAAAAAAAAGTTTCAAGTTCTGAATCAACACCAAAATGCTTGACAATGTACTTTGACCACGACAGATGAAGAAAAAATTATTGCCTTCCTAACTTTGTTACAGTTCTTCCATCTGTCAATGCAGTGGTTTGATCAAAAGTTCAAAATTCATTGTTTTGATTTAATAAACCAGCCCAGTATGTTGACTTCATGGTTCCAATTGTACTGCTGCATTTGGGCCTATCAAATGATGCCTGGGCCTGTTTATTTTTTTTGCCCTGTTGCTTCTTATTTTTTCTTAAAAAATCCGAGAACCAACAAATTGAATTGGTGTGGCCTGAGATAGCACAGCACAGTTCTACCTCATGTAGCTGCTGGCAGTGTTAAGTGTGGGACTTAACACAGACACAGCCCTGGACTTAAATGTTTTTGTATGACTTTGATTTTGAGTTCGAGCTTGATTTCTAAAGAAGCTGTACCATCCCATTTTGTGCAGTTTAAGTCAGTCAGTCAGACTGACTAACTGACTGACTGATGATGATGTGTTAAGTGCACAGCATCAAAATTTTCTTGCGCCACATTTAAAAATTTTTTCCACATAACCATAGTTTACATTTGTATCAAAAGACCTGTCAACTTACCGGTATCAAGCGATGATACTCTTCTTACCCTGTACTAGTCTTTCGTGTGCCATCTGCTTTTGTTTCCTTTCTCTCTGATGGTATGAACTGGGCTGTGCTGTCACTGCCATAGATACAGCAGTAATGTATGAGACTGAATGCTGCATGCTCTACATGTATGCACATGTACCTTCTGCTCAGGAGGAGTCTGCTTATAGCCTGAGCTGTAGTCTGAAGCATGCTAGGTCATACATGTACATGTGCAACTTCAATAGTCAGACTTAGATATCATACATGATTCTCTATTGACACAACAAAAAAAGTACATGGACTATATATTAAGAGGCTGTGCAAGTTGGAGCATCTTAATAATTATATAAAAGTTTTTCAGTGTAACAGTGTAAGGAACCAGCTTCTATAAAAGAGTGGAAAGATAACACCCAAATTTTACAGGCTTGGTAAATTTAAAGGCAAAAGCATTTGAAAGTAGGTGGCTTTCTTTTAGAATGTTGTCCTTTGATTTTTATTCTGGCCACTTGGTTAAGTATGTACTATATGTTCTGAGAATGTGCATGGCCTTTACATTTCTATGTTCTCTTATATAGTCTAACCTAAAGTTTTAGTCTGACAATGATTTAATTAGCATATTGTACCCTCTTGTGCTACTGTGAATATTGTTGTAATGACTTAACTAAAAATGCACTGGAGGGGTTTTGTTCCTTTTGTTTGGTATATTGAGGTTGGCCCCAAATATGCCGGTACACTGTTTTACACACAGTTTTAAACCTTTGATGTGCTAGCAGTGTATATTGCTGCTGTCACTTGCATAACTGTGTATCATATACACACAGTCCATTCCCCATTGGATGCCTGTACTGTGTACAGCAGACAAAAGACAAAATTATAAGTACAGTGTACTTCCAACTGAAACTCTTCATAGACTTACTTATTATTGGTCAGTTTTATAAGTTCTTTTCCTGAGCTCTGGAAGGTCTATTACCCAACTAGTTCTTATTCAAAGACAATTCAAATTGAACTACTCGTACTGCATGAATTATGGAAATTACTTCCAGACATTTCAAGTGACATACATCAATCTTCTTCAGCATTACTAAAAAAAATGTAGTTCATATATATATTCCTTTTTATTATTTTTATCTAGTTTTATTAATTTTATAAATTCCAGAATAGATTTTGTACAATGAAGAAACAATTTTCCCCGAGCAAGCATGGGGTCTTGTGCTAGAAATGTAGTAACTGTTGACAGACAAATGTTATCAAGGAGAAAATAGTTCAAAGAAACAGTGTGTAGGAATTAGGTTGATAGCATTTCCTTCAGGATTATGGTGAATTCAAAATCTATCTTGATAACCCCTGCCATACAGTGTTTCATGAAATTGTTTTCTCCTTGAAAACACGTCTGTCTCTACTTCATACATCATCAATGGTTATGGTTCGTGTCCCTGAGGCCTAGGAAAAAAAATGTTGTGTTTCCTGTTTCAGTTGGTAGGTAGGATTATCTTCTTTTTTTTTTTAGACTTCAATGATAGTACCTATATAGTGATCCAACTTATACAATACAGTTTAACAAAGTAAAACTTGCATGAGGACACTTTTATTTTCAATGTCAATGTTAGAAAACCAGTTGTACAACGTTTTATTACTCAGGTGTCAGATCATGGAGCTAGGAAAGGTTGATCAGCTTGAAAAATTAGATAAATTTATGTCCCTTGCAGGGGTCCACCCCCCAAAAAAGTCTAGGGTCGGTAGGTTTTTCTAGGGTCGGTAGGTTTTTCTAGGGTCGGTAGGTTTTTCTAGGGTCGGTAGGTTTTTCTAGGGTCGGTAGGTTTTTCTAGGGTCGGTAGGTTTTTCTAGGGTTGATTGGGAAACAGGAAACACAACGATTTTTTTCGTAGGCCTGACTGTGCTCCCTGCTGTTCTCTCCAGGTGCTAGTGCCACGTCCCAGGCAGACAAACAGGAGTCTCCAGGGGACAACTTCGACAAGGATGGCGCCATGCTGGTGGACTTTCTGCTGGTGGACGAGGACGAGCATCTGGAGGAGGAGATCAATGCAGAGCTGAAGATTCTGTTTCCCAACTACACGCCCAGCAAGGTAAAGGTAGGGAGATACACATGTACACGTGTTTTCTTCTATTGCAAGCAGTTTGTATCTATATTTTCTGTTTCCCAACTACACACCCAGCAAGGTAAAGGTAGGGAGACAGAGACATGTCTTTTTGTGTCTCTTTTTATCAGTAAGGCCCATGCAGAAGGTACCACAGACTATACAGTATATCTGGTGGTATATCTGTTTCCCAACTACACACCAAGCAAGGTAAAACTAAAGGTAGGGAGATACACATGTACACGTTTTCATGTCTTGTTTTTTATGCCAGTCGGTCAGTCCCATACAGATGGTACAACACCGTTGTTGTCTTTCTATTGCAAGCAGTGTGTATCTATTTCTGTTTCCCAACTACACGCCCAGCAAGGTAAAGGTAGGGAGACAGAGACATGTCTTTGTGTGTCTCTTTTTATCAGTAAGGCCCATGCAGAAGGTACCACAGACTATACAGTATATCTGGTGGTATATCTGTTTCCCAACTACACACCAAGCAAGGTAAAACTAAAGGTAGGGAGATACACATGTACACGTTTTCATGTCTTGTTTTTTATGCCAGTCGGTCAGTCCCATACAGATGGTACAACACCCGTTGTTGTCTTTCTTTTGCAAGCAGTTTGTATCTACATTGTATTTCTGTTTCCCAACTACACACCCAGCAAGGTAAAGGTAGGGAGATACACATGTACACGTGTTCATGTGACTTGTTTTTTATGCCAGTCGGTCAGTCCCATACAGATGGTACAACACCCGTTGTTGTCTTTCTATTGCAAGCAGTTTGTATCTATTTCTGTTTCCCAACTACACACCCAGCAAGGTAAAGGTAGGGAGACAGAGACATGTCTTTGTGTGTGTCTCTTTTTATCAGTAAGGGCCATGCAGAAGGTACCACAGACTATACAGTATATCTGGTGGTATATCTGTTTCCCAACTACACACCCACCAAGGTAAAGGTAGGGAGATACACATGTACACGTGTTCATGTGTCTTGTTTTTTATGCCAGTCGGTCAGTCCCATACAGATGGTACAACACCCGTCGTTGTCTTTCTATTGCAAGCAGTTTGTATCTATTTCTGTTTCCCAACTACACGCCCAGCAAGGTAAAGGTAGGGAGATACACATGTACACGTGTTCATCATTGTCTTGTTTTTTATGCCAGTCGGTCAGTCCCATACAGATGGTACAACACCCGTCGTTGTCTTTCTATTGCAAGCAGTTTGTATCTATTTCTGTTTCCCAACTACACACCCAGCAAGGTAAAGGTAGGGAGACAGAGACATGTCTTTGTGTGTCTCTTTTTATCAGTAAGGCCCATGCAGAAGGTACCACAGACTATACAGTATATCTGTTTCCCAACTACACACCCAGCAAGGTAAAGGAAGGGAGATATACATTTTGTACAACAGTTCATGTTTTTTCAATGCCAGTCAGGCCCATGTTGACAGCCACTTTATGGAGTATAGTGAGTCTGCTTCCTCACACCACTGATCAAGTTAGTGTAAAATGGAAACTTGACATTGGATGGAGAGGGTTAGGCTTTCCCTTCCAATGCCATGTCCTAGACACATACCCACTGCCCCCTATGGCCTGCAGTATTGGTTTACATTATGTAGCAAGTGGCAGGACAGAATTGGAGGGGCCAGTCACCATATAACATGAATGTCTTTGAGTGAAAATAAACAGAGCAGTATACTGTATAGTTTGTTAGGCTAGACTATGTGAAGGTAAACATTATGCATTTGCTTTGTAAATGTTAACTGAGTGTCTAATTTAATTATGATGTATTTTTCCTTGTGTTGTACAGAAGGTGAAAGGCAGCTTCAACATGGCCGGGTCGCCCAAGTTTGCGCGGAGGGACACCCAGCTGACCCTGACTGCCCTGGCAGCTAACGCCACAGAGTCACTTGGGCAGAAAAGTAAGGAAATACACTGTTATTATGGGTTCACCACAAAGTGGTGAAACCATATTGCTTTTTCTCATGATTCTCCTCCTTCTTCTTCTCCTCCTGCCATTTCTTTAAATGGATTCAGCTTCTTCATTTTGAGGCCTAAGGACCTGAAATTTGGTATGGAGGTACAGTAGGCAAATACCCCCAGGCGTTTTTTAATTTTTGTGATACAGGCTTTTAGAATGGTTTTATTTGAGTTTTTTGGCTGTGTTATAGCAAATGTATTACTGAGTTAGTGTGCAGTGTTACCACATTTGGGCATGAGTCATCACAATGGAATGCAGGGCATCAACCAATAGGCATGCAGCTTTCCTCTATTCTCCTTGCTGATTGGCTGTTGGAATTTAACAGGCTTAACTTAATTAATACCTGCACAGAGCCATTCCATACTGACAGTAGGTCTGTATTCAAGTGTTTTGGTAGGTATTTTAAGCTTTCCTGCTCCAGCATTGGAATGCGGGGCATGAACGCTTCTTTTTTCTTGAAAATCAACAGTTTGCATTATGCAATTAAAAATCCTAACCAATAATGTAGGGAATAGCTATCCAACTGTTGTAGTCTTAGTTGTATGTTACTTCATACTATAGTTATATCAATGTAAAGCATTGTTTTCCCTTGTGTTTCTCATTCTTTCCCTGCCATGTCGTAAAATGTGGTGAAGCCATTGCTGTATTTGCTCCAAAGCAAATGTCGGCCTTTCTAGTTGCTGCTATGTTTTTTCTTCCCTGGTGGTGTTGGTGCCGCAATGGTTAGAGGGTTCGATATTCACCATGCCCTGACGTTGTGCCCATGGGAAAGGCACTTTACTCGACTTCCCTCCCTGTATGGTGGAATGATGCCCACCAAGCCTCTCAGGCTAACCTGTCTAAATGTCTGCCAACATCAGCACATTATTTGCCACCGAGAGCCATTTTTTCCCCAAAAATTCTGGTGACCGTTTTTCACTTCTTCAGGGCAACAATGACTGCTTCTGATCTGTACTGCAGCTTGGTGTCGCTGCTGCAGGATAATTACTTTCAGCTGTAATAGAGAGCACACTCTTCTTGTTAGGTTTATCTTTACTTTGTATTGGTTTTTATCATTTACGTGCAAATACAAGACTACAAAATTTACAGTCTCCATTTGGGATCTCTGCTGATTCTACCAGATTAGAGTCTCTACACTGACATACATTTTGAACAATCATGTAAGAAATTGAAACACTTTCAGATGTAACACTAATAGAGAGTGACTGTGTCCCCTGTAGGTATCTCCCTGGCCATGGACAGTCGGCTGGAGGTCGGGGTGTGGACCAGGGCTGATGTCCTGCTCAAGAGGATGGAGTCAGAGGCGGCCGAGTCCTTCCACCACGTGGTGTCAACACCGCTAGTACCAGCTGGTAAGTCATGTCTGTAGATTTCCGAAAATAGTTTCATCAGGTTGGTAAAACTTAAGAGATAGGGGAATTCTTTTTACACAACCAAGTTCTCGCCGCAAAAGCGCCACCTACATCAGCTACATATAGCGGCGAGATGCAGTACTCCAGTCAGAAGCTCTGAAGAAGGTGTCTGACAGACACCGAAACGTCAGCGAGGTGAGACTCTTTGGTTGTGTAAAAAGAATTCCCCTATCTCTCATGTCTGTAGAATTTTCCTGTATCTTCTACTACTACCGGTAAGTACATTTTAAACATGTAAGAATTTGAAACACTTTCATCTGTAATGGAGAGTGTCTGTAGACTTTCCTTATATTTCTTACTGATTGTCTTGTACATTCTACAGCTAACAAGATTTCATAAACACACATGATTTTTTCCTTTAGGCTCCCACCAACAGCCGTTAACTGATGACATGTTTGTGACGCCTCAGTCTGCGATAAGCTCCCCGCTGGTCCTCAGCACCTGCATCAACCACCTGTTCGGCCAGCTGCATGAAAAAATTAATTAAGAATAATCAATTGATAGGTTTATTAATCTTTTTCCTTTAGGCTCCCACCAACAGCCGTTAACAGACGACTCCCTAGCCCAGGACATGTTCGTGACGCCTCAGTCTGCGATAAGCTCCCCGCTGGTCCTCAGCACCTGCTTCAACCACCTGTTTGGGCAGCTGCAGCTGCAGAGGGTGCAGCTGGACCTGCTGCTGCAGCTGTGGCTCACCCTGAACGAGAACGGGGAGGGAACGTCGTCTGGGTTTGACTCCAGCAAGGTCCCCACCATCCCGCTCAACGAAGGTGTGCTTGTTTGTTTGTTTGTTTGTTTGTTTATTCACAAAATTCTCAATGAAGTCATGAGGGATGATGTCAGAGTCAGATTGGATTCCTACCAAGTCCATAAGCATGCTTCTGCATTATTTTAAGAACAGCAAACTGGAAAAATTAATATATAATTCATCAGGTAGGCTTGTTATTGAATAAAGATCTTAATATACAGACAGCAACAACAACGATTTGTTTATGCAAGGCCCTGATTTCTGCTAGCCAACTGTTACTGATATATGCTATTTTCCCTGGCCCAGGTTCCATCAGCAGCCTGCTGTCCTGCCTGTCGTGGTTCCCCAACATGCCCGTGCGGTCCTGGTGCCTGGCCTGGAACACTCTCAGCCTCATGGCCAACATCCGCACACCCGCCCTGCAGGTACATGCCAGGCTTTTAGATTATCGCTTCAATAAACCAATGATATGATATATAATCTCATATGTGGGGTTGTGTGACATAACGGCACAGTGTTACACGAATTTCCTCACTCCACCCAGGAGTAAAATGGGAACCTGACTTCAGTTGGGGAGGTATAAAAGACAGTGGAGAAGGAGAGGGATGGGCTCAGCCTTCCAATACCATGCCCTAGGCACGGTGGATTAACAACCCAATGCCCATATGGCCTTAAAAAAGGCTACGGGACCTTTACCTTTGCCTATAACCTCATATTATGGATTTTTTTAATGTATTTGATATTTTTTACCACATTTTATTGACATGTAATATGATGAGACCAATATGCTTATGTTTATTTTAGAACAAGTTGTGAATATTGTATTGACATTTATGTCATACATGGGCCGCGATTTGGTATGGGTGTCCTGGCCCGTGTGATAACTGGCGGTGCGGCCCAGGGTTCTTTACGCGCACGGCTCAGGCTTCCAAATGTTCGATAGAATAATTCAAACATGTTTCGCGCGTACCTAGTGCGCCATTTCCAAAACTTAAATCACTGATGTCAAATGTTGGAATTGACGTTGTTACACTTTTTGTTTAGGGACACCAAATTTTGGCACATTTCGCATTTAAAGGTCTTTTTTCTTGGGTGTGTATGACACAAATAAAATACAACACGGTGTATTCCGCATCACCCTCGCCCCAGCCCTTTGCGGATCAGATCTCCCTTTGGCCTTCAATCCGATCTGCGGTTCTTCTGGTGCCTCGGGCATGCATCGTGTAGTATTCTATATGTACTGACTTAGCAATTTAGCCCTCAGGGCTGCAAGAGTGATTTACATTTTAATAAACCATTCATCATCATCATCAGGCCAGCCCGCTGGACACGTCGGACATCTGGCTGGCCTCCAGCATCATCGCCGACGGCAACGTCATCCCTGTGGTGGTGAGGTTCCTGTCGGGAGCCACCGTGCAGGGCCCGCCCACACCCAGCAGCACCAATGTGCAGGTCTGGATCTATCATAATTATGAATGCTCTGCATTTCACAAATCTAACGAGTTAGCAGACGTGATAGTAACGTGTTTGTAAACGGAAAAGTAACGGGTTAGAAATGCGATAGTAACGGTGATGTTGGTTAACTACATGTATGACGGGAACAGTACTGTCTTCACATGTATATATATATAACTTGTATCAATAATTATTGATCATTATGATAATTATGATCAATTGTCTGGAACCCTGACATCGTAGCTATTTTGGAGCCCTGATATCGTAGCTACATATCTACATGATGGGGGCATTGAAACTCATTTAAAAGACAACTTGATACAGAAGCAATTACTGTAGAAGTGTATGAGTGAAGACTATTTTTTCCATCGTCTTTGTCTTTCAAGAGTAGAGTTTTCACCGTCCTAATGAGTTTTTGTTGTCCCGTGTTGTTTAGTATGGTCCAACTGTGACTCAGGCGTTTCAGGACTTCCTGGTGAGGCTACAGCTGCACAGCAACATGGACAAGTTCCAGGACCTCATGCTGCGCCTGGTCTACATTCTTGCCAGTGATAGGTACTTCTTCTTTTTATACTTTTTACAAGTCTTGAGTTGACTTACAAAGTCAATGACACTCAAAAGACATAAGTCCTTGTCACGTTGAACCGTTTTTCCAGTTGCTCTTGGTTAATTAAATTTTAGTGATGCTGATCAACGAAGAGTGATCCAGAAGTTATCTCCAGTAGTAGAATTTGAATTGTCTATGATTATATACCGGTAACAAATCGTGGGGAGCGGACGAAAGCTAAAATGGCTGACACTCAGGCTACAGGAACACTGCTGACTCTCGAATAATTGGCTGGTGGCTTTGTGTTTACTGTATCAATTTTGTATTTTTACACATTTGAATCTTTTAAGTTAGTAACAAAATTAATACATTTTAGTTGAGTTCTATTGTACTGTCTTTGCTAACATGGCTCTGTGTATATACTTGTTTCAGGGGAGCATTCCAGCTGTGCTTGGGGCCCCTGGACACACAGGTCCACTTCCTGGACTTCATCCTGGAGCAGAACTTTGAGTCGGTGGACACCACCACGGCGATGGGCGTTATAGAGTCCATCTCCTCTCTCGTGTACAGCTACATCATGTGTTCCGAGTCCCTGAACTCCCGGAGCCAGTCTGACAACAGTGTTAGTGCCCGCTCCTGCTTCGGCGGGCTGTTCGCGAGCATACTACGCCCCGCGGACGCCCGGTCGCTCGGGGAGGGGAATCGCGACGTCCTCATGTGCAATCTACTCAAGCTGGTCAAGACCCTGGTCAAGATCCCGCTGCCCCAGTCCAGGCTGTTCCAGATGACCCACAGGACTCCCAGCAGCGTGGGCAGCGCCGACGCGGCGGCAGAGGGGGAGAGCAGCAACAGCTCCGCGGAGCTCATCATCCAGACCAACTTCTCCGAGCTGAACAGGAACTCTACGGACTCCAGCAAGCTGGCCACGACGCAGTCCCCGGGGCTGAACGTCAGCGCCTCCGACGAGGAGAAGTCGTCGTCCGGAGAGTCCGGCGGGGCCTCCGGGTCATCGCCCGAGAAGAAGCCGAAGTTCACGTCATGTTCGCACGTGACGGAGACCGCGGGCTGGGAGAAGAAGCAGAAGTGTCTGGCAGACCTGGTCCTGGGACACTCCAACACCATGGCCTACCTGCTGTCAGCACTCAGCGGCTGTAACAGCAACACCATGGCTATGATAATAGGTCAGTAGTACTCAGTACAGTACATTGGCAGAACAGACTGCGTCTGTGTAAAACCCGTAATGTTTTGTGCATGGCACTTTGGCAGAGCATCTCATTTAAGGATATGTAATGTATATTTCAGGATGACCATACTTTTCCAAAGCTGTGTCGGAAAAGGTATTGTCTACAACAGATGAAATACTGATTCAGCGTTGACCAAACATCTAACAAAACCATGAAAAATTCAGGTTTTGTCCAGGCATAGTAGGTTCTGCTGATATACTGGTCAGTAACGTGTTTGTATGTTGAATGAACCACTGCTTAAAGCACAGTTTTTATTTAAGTCTATTTCAGTCTCCAATGAGGTATCTTCCACTCAGATTTAAAAGATTTCATTTCTGTTGTCCCCACAGGAAGCAGTGGTCTGCACATCACCATGAACGACAGTTTCGCCACCTCGGACCCCCTGTCGGCCGGGGACGGCATCTTCATGATCCTCTGTGCTCTCAACAACAAAGCCACACAGATAGAGCTGGTGCTGCAGCCAATACTACAGGTACAGTACTGTTAGTAGCTGCTAGGGGATAGGTACATGATTGTGTAGTCATAGTCTTTCAAGTCATAGTTTTTTGTGACTGTCTAACAGACAGAGAGAAACAGACTGTAGCTGCATGTGCTATTTAATGTGCTGTCAATAGTTTTCAGCTGAAGGAAAGGAGAATGAATGGATATTAGTTACTTTACATACGCACCTTTACGAGTTGCCCTGCCTACACAACATATAGCAGAACAATTCATGATTGACACATTGCACTAAAATAAACAAACACTGTATTGAGCTTAGCCTGGGTTCCATCCTGATTAGTTTACGTCCGCTCCCACAGTTGATGGTAGCGACTGTGGGAGCGGACGTAAACTAACCAGGATGGAACCCAGGCTATATTGAGCTTGCTCCAAACCTTTTCATGACAGTCACAGTACTTCTGTTTTTGAAAATAAAGGAAAATTTGCTTTATTTAGTACATTGTATCTACAAAGCAGAACTGTTACAACTGTACCTAATCATCTATTATCAGTTTGTGCTTGTTACTAGTGCCATGTTTCTCTGTTGTACAGTACATGTCGTGTGGGTTCAGCACACAGCAAGGCTCCCTCACCATGTGCCAGCTGTCTGAGCCGCTCCTGTGGTACATCCTCCGGGTGCTGGACTGTGAGAAGTCCATCCGCGCATTCAACGACCTGGGTAAGTCACGGGATAATGTCCAACTTCAGTATACTATACATGTGGGCAATCACTCGTGTGACCTTTATTCGCGTTCAGATACAGATTCATGTACAGATACAGTGTATGCAGATACAGATTTTCCGGGTATGATGACCGTGTCAGTTCCTACACCTGAGTGAGGTTTGACACGGTTGCCTTCGCGTGGATTTGTTTAAGGTGGATAACAGGTTGAGAATCTGAGGCCCACACACACTTCAGTATACAAAGTCAGGGCTCGCACTCTGTATAACTGTAAGTGTGTAACTCGGTACCATCCTTGGTGCTGAAAGCCATGCAGTTGTGTTCTGATCAATTGGTGTCAGTGGAAAGCAGCTTCATTAGTTATGCAGGGCTCAAAGTACTTTTTTCTGCATACCTGCACTGGTTTAAGCAACAATGAAAATTACCTGCACCAGACAGGTTTCACCTGCACCACTCAGAATTGAGGAAGTATGGATCATACTAAAAATTGTTCAGAAACCATTGCCAGTATTCTTTTATACTCTGGCGACATTCACATAAGTCTTGCAGGTCAATAGATGCTGTCATGTACAGTAGTTTCGTTAAAAGTGGAAAGGAAATAGGACAAGGTATAACTGGGAAAGACTGGAAACGTAAAAAAAGACCAGAAAATTGAGAATGGTGGATAAAACTGCTTGTCAGATCATCTGAGGTGCCCCAAAGGTAATTAGACTAGGGGACAGATGAGAGATGAGATAAGATGTAGGAATTGAAGTCAACTCTTTGTCGATTTGTTGCAGGTGGTATCCAGGTGATCTGTACTAACCTGGTGCGGTCGAACCGATCGGCCATCAACACCAACCCCAGCCTGGTGTCCACCATCATGCGGTTCCTGGACAGTGGCAAGAGCCTGAAGACCCCTCCCCTGGCCCGGCCAGTGGCCAACACCGACGTCGACAACATGGAAGGCCTGCACAACTTTGCTCCTCTGGGTAGGTTTTCCCTAGTGAGAATTTCCCAGTGCAATGAACCAGCAGGAATTTCCAGTGCAATGAATGTGTAAATACTGTACATGGCGTCTGTCTTCTCTCTCACGACCAGTGGGAGATTAGCTCTTCAGTGAGATAAAACTGGATCGAGATCACTTTCCTTTTCCTTCCCTGTAGGGTCCATCACCTGCAGCAGCCCGTCCACCCAGCCGCCTGACGTCCTGATCCAGGCCGCCCCCCCGCACCGCCGCGCCCGCTCGGCCGCATGGTCATACCACTTCATCCCGGACGAGGTCTGGTGCAACCTCACCATTAACCTGCCCGTGGCCATCCTGCTGAAGGAGGTGCACATACAGCCCCACGCAACGTCACTAGCAAGTAAGTACAACATGTACTAGTTACTATACAACGTCACTAGCAAGTAAGTACAACATGTATACAACATACAGCCCCACGCTACATCACTAGCAAGTAAGTACAACATGTACATGTATACAATATACAGCCCCACGCTACATCACTAGCAAGTAAGTACAACATGTACTAGTTACTATACAACATACAGCCCCACGCTACATCACTAGCAAGTAAGTACAACATGTACTAGTTACTATATAATGTCACTAGCAAGTAAGTACAACATGTATACAGCATACAGCCCCACGCTACATCACTAGCAAGTAAGTACAACATGTACTAGTTACTATACAACGTCACTAGCAAGTAAGTACAACATGTATACAAAATACAGCCCCACGCAACGTTTGTATAGTTAAGAGGAGGAGGGCCTTGTATAAGCATTCCATGCTTCTCCCCTCCTCCTGCACCTGTTTTTATCCTTGTTTTGTATTATTACTGTCTGTTTTGTTTAATGTGCAAATCAATAAAATCAAATCAAATTATACTGTATATGTACTTTACTTCTTACAGGCAGCCCCTCCCTCCCATACCCTACTAACTGCCGTATCTTTGATATTGTGTTTAACTATATCCACCACTCTGGAAGATTTGACCAATCTCATTAATGTTATGCTATAGGTATTGGTGCGCCAGCCACTTATTTTATGTTTATGTTATACTTTATGTCATCTTTATGTTAACATTATTTTGTATTATGTTTTATGAGCAGCGGATTTACATAAGCACAACAAGTGCTTCCTATCCAATGCTCAAAAATCCATGTGAATAAAATAGAAATAAAAAAAATCAAATAATCTTCTGCAGCGTCGCCGTCTGCTGTGTGTGTGGAGGTGAGCCGTGACGGCTCCTCGTTCCTCCCCGTCTCCAGCCCGGTGTCCACCAGCGGACTCACATTCATCAAACTCGTGCTGCAGAAGACGGAGATCGCCACGGCCATATGCCTCAGGTTTGTCAGGTTTACCCTCGCAGTTAAGGTGTCCTCCCTGGCTAATTTGGCTTTCCATCATTTTCTCACAAAGAAATTTAGTTATTAGAGAATAACCTAATTGCCTAATTAAAATTTAGTTATTCTCTAATAACTACGGGTAATTAGTAGATATCAATTTGTGCAAACCTACGTTTGTAGCTTTGACCATTATGCACATGAAAATTATACTTTTATTTCAGTTACTTGCACCAAAGTGCTATATTATAACTTTAAAGATAATTACATTTGGGGCAATAAAATGTGATGACGTCATCCATATGGTCCATAAAATCATATTCATAACCCTTTTGTACCCAGGTATCAATATTCAGTACAACTAAAGTTCTTTCTAAATTTCTTTGTGAGAAAATGATGGAAAGCTAAAATGCCAAATTAGCCAGGGAGGGCACCTTAAGTTAAGCCTTCCCGCAACCATTAGCATGGTCGTATATGGTGGCGCCCATCTCCGTTTCGTAGCCCTTGGGCCACACAGTTATGCATTCACTACAGCAGGGGGCTAGTCCACTGGTAGTGTCTCCCATACTCTTCCCCAAATGCTGAGTGCTAAGCATAGAAAGCAGTATGTACCATTTTTAAAGTCTTTGGTGTGGCTTGGCCGGGGACCTACCGAATGCAAGGCAAGCACTCTATTCACTTGGCCATTGCACCAGTCATAATTTACCTTTGCTGTAGGAAAACACATTGTTTTTGTTCGATGTCTTCTTTTTCTTCAAACATATATAAAGGTATGCATGATAGCTAATGGAGTTTAATAAAGTACAGTGACCAGGATCAGTTGACTGTCACCATGGTAACTGGTGGTGTAGCAGACATCCTGTAGTGTTGGATTATATTTTGTAGCAAGTGGCAGAGTTGGAGGGCTTTCCTCAAGCATGAGACGTCCGGCTTTGTATTTGTATTATGTCCCATATGAGAGAACATCCGTAATGGAAGTTACGCAGTATTTTCACAAGCTGAGTGAGAAAATAGGTGTAAAGGGGTGCAACACCAGGGCCTGCTAGGGATTTGACTCAGAACCTTAAGCGAGATTCCTCTCCGGTGGCACAACACATGCAGACTTACAAACACCAACCGGGGAAGAAAGTCACCATTCTAGACCGCTAAAGTAGATGGTTTGAATGAGGAGTTTACTAACTTTTAAACAACTTTTTAACTTTTCTGACTTTCCAACCGTTCCATCTTTCCCTTCCACTTTTGATTATAGATATTATTATGATTACTTTATTAATTTGATGATGTTGTGTCTTTGATATTGTATAATGCATTGATATGTTTTGCTATTTTGATATTCGTAACTTGTTGTTAGGTCCTGTATATTGTATTGACTTGTCCTGTGTTGTGTTGTATGTACCAGTGGCAGCCGCCACCAGCCTTTGGCTGCCTGGCTCCCACTCGTAATGCGTTGTTTGGCATCACCAATAAATGAAATGAAATAAATGAAAATGAAAAGGAGTCAAGGAAGCTGTGCACATCAGGTCCCGCTCCCCGTCCCTCAACCGTGACCAAGGACGCCACAGGCTCCCACCAATCTACAACTCCCTCGTCCAGTCACGTGACCTGGGTGACCCTTGACCCTTGACCTAGGTCACGTGACCCCTCTTATGAGCTGAAGAAAGATGGCGGATGCCACCTGAAAGCTTCTCCTAGCACAATTTTAGTCGTATCAGTTTAATTCCTTCTCTAAACCTTAACAGTAGATTCTGAGTCAACAACCCTAACCACAAGCCCACCTTGCCCTCAGGTTGAGGCGGCCGAGGGACTCCTCCTCGATAGGCCTGTCCCAGATCCTGTTGTTCGGGCTCACGGCGTTCGGAAACACGGCGACAACCCTGGTCAACAACCCGTTTGTACCAACGGAAGATGCAGTGTCCAAATCCAGGTGAGGTCTCGCTGTTCTCTGTCATTTATGTGACACTGTATACATGTGTAACGTAGAGTGGATGTATTGAACTTCCTAAAGCTAACATCTTTTACACTGCAGTCGTTCTTAAGTAAAACATCTGTAGCTGCATAGTTCCTGTGAATAAAAGCTCTAAACAGAAACTACATGTATGCAGCTCCAGAATAATGTCTTACTGAAGGGCAAGTACAGTATGAAAGATGTTGCTTAGTTATAATATCACTGAACAAGGTTTCAGACTAATGGCTGCTTTCCAAACTATTCCAAGTGATTATTGCTACACTTTTGTAGACTACAGTGCTTTCTTGACCCACAAAGTTGCTCCTAACAACATGTTCCCTTGCATCATTCTGTTACCTGAATTTACCTGAACCATCAGTCAGGAGCTTGATGGCGAGTAGCCTCTATAGCTAGTAGCTCCTCCATCGAACACGGCTTTGATATAGCTGTCAATAGGGCTTATTCACCACAGATGGTCACGTGACTCTTCCCCCGGCAACGAGCATTGTCTGCCATTAGGGGGTGCAGCATGGTGCCTATCGCTGTGGTACGCTATGCAAACTCTTGGCGATAGTTTCTCTACACATCCTGATACAACGCTTCCAGACTCTTAAAGGGTTTGAACCGATCCTGTGTGTAAAAACTTCTGCCCCGTGAGTACCAAATACGAAGCTAAGTCGCGTCAATGGACTCCGCTGGCGGTAGACGCCGTCTCGATCAGACTGATCAAAACTCAACAAAAATGGGTCAACCCCAACAGATTTTATTTTGTTCCAGTAACGAGAGGTATGAGTGGTGGTAAACTCTTCGTTTAATAGGACAAAGGACAGTTTACCTAACGTTTGTCGGCCATTTCAACGCTTGGAAACTCGCTGTAGAGATACCCCAAAATGGCGTCGCACGGGACATGAGGGGTGGTGACGTCATGATGACGTGTGGTGAATAAGCTCTATACTCTTAAAGCTGTTGACACTACTCTGGTGCACTACTTTGTCAGGAAGTTTATTCCATGCTAGAATTGTTCTCACTGATCAACGATCTATTACAGCTCATTCCTTGAAAAAGACTGGAGCTGTACAGTCAAAAACAGTCAAAAATTTGGGTGAGTCCAATTTTTTGTGTTGGCAATTGCAGTTCAAACTCGTTTCATGATCTATAATTGCAGTGTTGGCTGGCTGAGGCTGCTGCACCACACCCTGACACACATCCAGGAGATGGAGGGTCTGATTGCCACGGCTGCAGCCCCCACCCCCAGCCTGATGACCACCTGTGTGGCCCTGCTGCTGTCCCCGCACGCTGGGGTGTACGCCTGTAACATCGAGGCGGTGCTGCTGAAGATCGGTCTACATTCCACGGAGATGGGCCTGGCCCTCATAGACATCCTGCTGAGGAATAACTCCTGCTTACAGACTGAACATGGTGCGTGTATGGTGTATATAGTAGAGGTGATTCATTCCTCGAGCTAACCAACATCTCACACACACACTCATCTTTCAGTAAGACATCTGGAGCGGCATAATTCCTGTTTGGAACTTTTATTCAGCCTGTCACACTTGAAGAAGCTTCTGTACACTTAAAGAAGCCACACAGGCAAAACCGGTCGTGTGACAGGCTGAATAAAAGTTCTAACCAGTTAGCTTGAGGAGTGATTGGTGGGTGTATGGTGTTAAAAGTCGGGAAGGTGAATGAACTTCATGTCCCTACACGATGGTTACGGGACTAGCCAATCATTTTTGACAGCCACAATCAGAAACGGAAAATAGTATGGCCACGCCTAGCCAAAAGCATCATGCAAGGAACAGTGCAAGGAGGAAAAAAAAGAAGGGTAGGCAGTGGACAAGATGGGAGAATGATATCAGAGAATGGGCATGCATGACACTACAGTAAGTGAAATGCTAAGAGAAACAGAAAACAGAAAGGTGGAGAAAATTTTTTGTCAGATCATCATTATATTCTGTCAATTCGAATAATTAGACTAAGGGATAGATGAATCATAACTTTTCCCAGAGGTTTCATTGTATGTAATGTACAAGACGTGTACTTTATTGCCTTTTGTTTATTTCAGAGTCGCCTCCAAGTTTGTTAGGCAGACAGAACGGCATCTCTTCAGACTCCACAGTAGACATTGTGTACCAGCTGGGCATGACACAAGACCCTGGAACAGAGCACAGGTACATATTACTATCATGCAGCATTTTACCTTGATGTAATTGTTAACATTTCTGTAGAAAGCCCAATGCATGTTAGCTTGGTGATTTTTACTGCATACACAGTCACGTGGTAGTAACATGAAAGAAATTCTTAGTTCTTTATAGCTACATCTAGTAAATTAACATTTGATTGGTACCTTTTAATATGTCTGTCATAAAAGCTCAGTACCAGAACTAGAAGGAAGGCTTTGATTCTGCAGATTTTTGACCTTATACTGTCTAGCATTTGTACCACAGCTTAAGCTTTACTACATACATGTATTCAGTCCATGGCGTTCATAGTGAAAGTTTTATCCCCATCAAAGTACAACCGTTGCTGTTGTGGCAGCAGGTTTTAACCTTATCTTGTCCAGCATTTGTACCACATATTTTTACTACATTGATATTCAGTCGGTATATCAATCAATAGTTCATGTTTATAAACCTGAATTTCTCCTCTGGTCTCTTAGTGTCACCGACGAAAGGTAGTGGATGCTACCTGAAATGTCTGACCATTTCCAAAATCATGTCCAGTTGCTTGGACTGTTTTTTGGTGTACGCATTTAGTCCATAGTGTTTTAGTAAAAGTTTTCTTCCCAACAGAGTACAAGCCTTGCTGTCCTGGCTGGGTGACACGGCTCGGGTAGCACTGAGGAAGCACAGCTGCATGTCGTTCCGCGGGTCCATGGCCACCCTGAGTAGTGTGGAGCAGGTCCTGAGTACACCGTCCCCTGCACACATCCACTGTGTAGCTGCCATCGTCTGGGCCAGCTATGAGCTGCCTGTACAGTACAATCTACTGGACATCCTCTCCCAAGATTTCCTCAGGTTGGTTTTCTTTTCATCTGTCTTCAATAACTTAAAGCCATTTAAGTAGCGTGATGGTCCTGAGTACACTGTCCCCTGCACACATCCACTGTGTAGCTGCCATCGTCTGGGCCAGCTACGAGCTGCCTGTACAGTATAATCTTCTGGACATCCTCTCCCAAGATTTCCTCAGGTTGGTTTTGTTTTTCATCTGTCAGACTCCAATCAGTTATGTTCGTCCAATATGTACTTAATTGATTTTAACAATTGCTCTGCAATAAGTAAATTACGAATTAGTGCACACCCTCTCAAAATTGAGAGAGGGCGGTACAAGAAGCTCCAAGTATATGAACGAATTTGCAAACATTGTACATTGAATACGGTGGAAGACGAAACGCATTTTATATCAAATTGTACCCCTCTATAGCAATGAACGAAATGAACTCTTTGACGTAGCCTCCAAATTCTACCCAAATTTTCACACATATACAAATGAAAAGAAAACTACTCTCCTCTTAACATCCGAAAACCCACAAATTATAGAAAAAGTGTCTCAGAGTCTTCTGTGAAATTGATGACATTTCTGTACAAACAGTTCCATCTACGAGTGGTCGATGGTGCTTGAGCTGGGCTCGCCGCTGAAGAAGTCTGTGGACGCGCTGATCTGCGCGGTGTGCCACGTGAACCCGCGCTACTTCGCCATGCTGCTGGAGTGGATGGGCGTCGCCCTCAACATGGCCAACAACTCCACCGACGACAACAAGGACAGGAACGCATCCATCTCAGACGACACCAAGGAGGCCCACCAGGAGATGAATGTACGTAGCATTTTGTTTTGTGTTTATCTTATTGATTATGTTATAAATTGAAAAGGTAAACAAATTACATAAAACAAAATAGTGTGCAGGCGGTGGTTGGAAGCCTTCAGGGCTTGTACAGGTCCCTCCTCCTTCCTAACTTAATCACGAAATGATAGGCATGAGATCAATATGATAAATGAAAAGGAATTAACGCAAAAAAATATAACGAAAACTAATACATATGAGTGAATATCATACTAACTAATATAGTAATTGAAAATTAATTAATGAATACAAAGCATAATAAATGCATAGCATCAAGCTTTGTAGAAAATTCACATTTTCTGTTACAGTAGTAAAGTCACCCACTTACATCCAGATGTAACTTAAAGGATATGCATGGTAGAGCGCTTGGGTCTAAAAACAAAATGTCTCAATTCAGGTGCAGAACCTCTAGGTTTAGAAACAGCACGATACTGTTCATTGTTGAGCTACTGAATGCCTAGCCTCGACCGCACTTCTGGATATAGTGTTAACTATTTGTAGATGACACATCTTTTAATTTTCATCTATGCCCCAATTCAGCAATTTTCTAGCTGTAATGGCATATTATCTGCTGTGTTATTTTAGTACTGAAATAAACCTGTTATTCATTCAGGAGCACTTTGACAGCCCCATGCCGTCCCTACCCGTACAAGACTTCAGCCACCTCGTGTTAGACGAGAGCCATCTCAACACGCTGGCGTTCGCCTGCCAGGCGCCCAAAGCCGTGACCCAGCTGCTAGACTCCGGTTTCCCGGCCATGCTGGCGCAGGGTCTGTACGAGTTCTGCACCCGGGAGATCCAGAGGTGTCTTCGGCAGGACGAGGAGCCGCCCGTCTCCCCCCGCCGGGACCCGAACACTTTATGCATCACCACGGACCTTGTCGCGCCCGTGTTAAACTTCCTGGCCAGCGTGGCCATGGACAACGTCATGAAGGACTGGCTGGGCGGCGTCCAGGGAAACATCTTCTGGCCGTGTCTGCTGTCCATGCTGTGTAACACCGCCCCTCCCTCCTCCACTGCGGTTCAGTACTCGTCGGCGGCGTCGCCTGCCATGCAAAGGACGTCGGCGAGCAGTAGCAACGTGCTGGGAGGGCAGCACAGGACTGCGATCGAGAACGCCACGATCGCGTTCTTCACGGCAGTGATGTCGTGCCACAAGGAGAACCAGCAGCTGGTGTCCACCGTGCTCTGCTCCGTCATCAGGAACCGCAGTGAGATGATACAGAGCCTCCCCGCCCGGGGCCACGGCACACACAACCTCGTCATCTCAGGATTCACTCGCAGGTGAGTTACAAACTTACAAATTGTTCAATATAGTAGCCTGTAAGCGGCTTCAGACACTTACAAACTGGTCATCTCAGGATTCACTCACAGGTGAGTAACAAACTTACAATGTTTAATATAGTAGCCTGTAAGCGGCTTCAGACACACACAACCTCGTCATCTCAGGATTCACTCACAGGTGAGTAACAAACTTACAATGTTCAATATAGTAGCCTGTAAGCGGCTTCAGACACTTACATGTACAAACTGGTCATCTCAGGATTCACTCGCAGGTGAGTAACAAACTTACAATGTTCAATATAGTAGCCTGTAAGCGGCTTCAGACACTCACAACCTGGTCATCTCAGGATTCACTCGCAGGTGAGTAACAAACTTACAAATTGTTCAATATAGTAGCCTGTAAGCGGCTTCAGACACGCACAAACTGGTCATCTCAGGATTCACTCGCAGGTGCGTGCCGGCTGAGAAAATTCTTTCTATGATTTCTTTCTTTTTTTTCCCTTGATTTTGTCATTGGGTCAACTTGCAAGTGTTTACTAGTCCATAAGAACTATTGGTCAGCTGCTTACTGTCTACAGCCTTTCAGTATTACTGGCCGCTGCCATGTACATGGTGCAGTACTCTTTTCTACAAGCCTTTGAAACCTTTTGAGTTTCACTAGGTCACATATATCCCTCACTTTGAAAAACTGTGTTTTAGATATCTTTAGTGTAGCACCCACCTGGTATGCACAGTTTAAACATACAAGATCCATGCTTTCCTTGGAAAATTTTTAATTCTTGACCCCCTGAAATGCTATTTTCTGCATTTTCAGGACAAATTTTGCTGGTAGATTAAGCTTAGTCTAATGACATCTCTTTGTCTGTCAAGGATGACTGATTGGGCAGAATTTTTGTCCGTTCATGGTTAACTACAATGTAGAACACTGTATTAAGCCAATCTCTACCCCCCCCCCCCTAGGTTGTTCCTGCAGCTGATGCTGGAGGATGAGAAGATCACGGTGTTCATCCACTCCCCGTGCCAGCTGTACAAGGGCAAGTCCAACGCCACGGCCGGCATCATACAGCACCCCATGTACGGCGCCGGGCACAAGTTCCGTACCATCAGCGCTAAGCTGTCCTCCACATGCAGCGAGGTGCTCTCTCTCGTCTCAGGTCAGTCTCTGCCCATGATTTTCAGTTCAGTTTGGTTCTTCCATATGTGGTGATGTCCAGTATGGCAGCTGACAGGCCATTTGGTTGTTCAGATCAACTTTATCCTCCAGTACTTTATCTTCAGGTTTAGTTTTATTATTCAAACATAGAGCATCAGATTCTGAATAAGGTGCATATTTATCTTTCATGACTGTGATAAGTTATAGCTGCAATAATTTAAAATTATGTCTAGCTAAAGCCTTGCTATACGTACTTAAGTTGTCTGTAATTTGTTATAGTTTGAATCTACAGCAGCTAAAGAAGCACAATTACCCTTCATGACTGTGATATATAAGTTGTCTCATGTGTGTAAACAAATTATGTCCTCAGATAAGGTAACAGGTTTTCACATTGTGAAAATTAGCTTTTACTTTACTTTACAACTGTTACTTTAAAATCTTTCCGAATAGTTACAGTAAGGACCATGCTTTCATAGATAGATAAATTTTTCCTGCAATTGTTCTTGTCTCCTGTGTCCATGATGCCGGTGCCAACCCAGACCCCTTGCCGTGGTGTGTTTTACAGATGCAGGTACTTTCTTGTTCCCAGACACGCCGTCCCTGACGCAGAAGCTCCTTGAGACGCGGGAGGAGAAGATTAAGGTGGACGAGGAGGTGGGGAAGACGCAGAAGAAGAAGGAAGGATCCGGAGGGGCGGGATCCAGCGCGGGGGCACAGGGCGAGAGCAGCTCGGCGGAGAGCACGGAGAATGGGGTGGAGGGGGTGGAGACCGTCACGCTGGCTGCAGGTCAGATGTTTGCCAAAGGTGCAGTAAAGCAGTGCTGCTTCATGATCTAGATGGGAAAATAGCAAGACAGTTAAATAGAGATGCAATGGCCATACATGTATGTCACGATCGTCAGGACCAGCCAAAAGTAACATGCAAGGGACAGAAAAAGGAAGAAACAGAGATGGGAGTGAAATGTTAAGAGGTACAGAAAACTGAGAAGAATCATCAGTGCTACATCATGATTTAGGGAACAAGGGAGTTAGGTAGAAAATGTAAAGATGTAGTGGCCACGTGCTACGGTTGTCTGGACTTGCCAAAAGTATAATGCACAAGGAAAACGTTAAGGAGAACAGAAAACTGAGAAAGGGGAAAAAGGACTGCAGGTCAGATGTTTGCCAAAGGTGCAGTTCAGCAGTGCTGCTTCATGATTTAGACTAGAAAGCTTTGAACAACAATACTCCTGCAATTAGATATGGAAAGATTGAGTGTAACAAGTCATTTGGTGTAATGTAGTCAGCTGCCGCAGCGCTGCGTGCCTGTAAAGCTGGTGTGTTATGCCGTAGGGCAGTTATACCGGCTGTACCGATACAGATACAGATAGACGGGAACAAGGGAGTTAGTATACAACATAGAGAATTTGATGTAATTTTTGATAATATATATTTTATACATCCTACTCATAGAAATGCAGAGCACTTAATACATCATGTACACATGTATGTCAGTACTGGAATCATGCTATAAATTGTACAGACAATGCAATGTGTGTACAGACATACTGTCTTATGTATCTAGAAGATAGATCTAGAAAATACAAATATTTATTTTGTGGTGATTTGCTCTTTTCAGATTGGAAGCTAGAACACAGACATATACTTAGTTAGCATTTTACTTACTTAAACTATGGTATGATTATGTTTTTCCAGGCCTGAAGTCTAAAGCTAAAAGGTCTGACTCGAAGAAGGCCACCCCTCCCCGACCCCCCACCCGGCGGGGCCGCAACCCTCCCCCCTCGTCTGACAAGTCATCTTCATCGCTGTCGGCTACCATGAACATCCCAGTTCTGTCACTGTACCACAAGCTGCTGCCAGGTAGGGTGATCTGGTTCAGTCATGTAGAATATGTGAGCCACGTTACAGTCAGCTATCAGAGCTCTGTCCGCAGATATTAGCATGTTTAGTAGAAATCAGAGTTACCACTCACATGTATGATGTCCTGCCCCCCTCCCACAGGCCAGCCCCTCCCCTCAGACATGACTCTGTCCCAGCTGGTGGTGTTACTACAGGAGCTTGACTTCACCATGAAACTGTCTGCAGATATTAGCATGTTCGGTACAGTTTAACTTGCTTACATGTATGATGTCCTGTCCCCCTCCCACAGGCCAGCCCCTCCCCTCAGACATGACACTGTCGCAGCTGGTGGTGTTACTACAGGAGCGAGGCATGCCACAGGGCTACCCCTCTCTGGACTTCACCATGAAACTGTCTGCCAAGAAGGTCCCAACCGTCAAGACAGACAACAGCAAGAAGCTCAAGACAGAAAAAGGTGCGTTGTTTTATGACTTGCTGGTCTTCAGCAAGTGTCTGGGTCTATGAGTCAGCTTTTCTTTGTTTTTCTGGAGCAGAAATTCTGTGTGGTATCTCTTTTGAATAGACACGTAGAAAAGATTCCAAGAGCAGTGTTCACCTTGTTTTATTAGAATCTAAAAATCTTGTCCAAAAACATGCAGACAAGAACAAGAATTGTTCTTAGGATTACATAGAAACAACTGTTACAATGATCAATTAAAAAATGTGACTTGTGCATGGAGAAATATGAAGAACAAGATCAGGTAAGACCTTGCACATGTATGTTTTCCAGTAATAACTTAGCCAGCAAAATACATGTTGATACAACCAGAGATGTACCCAAGTGTCTTTTAAATCACCAGTCCAACTTTTCAGTAACTCCTAGGCTATTAAGCTGTTTTGTGTCATGACCTATTTCTTCCTAAAGTCTGCCCTGAAAAAGATGAAATTTAAGTTTGATGAAAAGTTGTTCACCTCCAGAACTGGTTGTACCCATGAGATGTCTTTGGAACATCTCTGGTAACAAAAAGCACAGATGTAGCCATGCATGCAGCAACCCTCCTCAGCTCTGCCATTGCCATTTGTGCCAGTTGCTCTGTCTTGTCTGTCCTGTTCTCAGGGTGTTCACTGGCACATAACACCATGTACAGACAGGGAAAACAAAATGCCATGGAAATCACCAAAAAAAGATCCTTGAACTTAATGGAAAATTGTCATTTGAATTCAAAAAGATTTTAAAATTATGTTTCTTGTCAATTGAGATACATAATATTAACATTTATGTTACTACTGCAAAATTACCAGATTCTTGATACGAACATAAAGATGCATTCATGACGCTAGATGTCCAGGTAATGAGATACACAAGAAAATGGTTACTGAAGCAACTGCATAGATGTTGAAAACTGTCATACATTCCAAGTTGTTACATGTGTAGCATGCTTTGACAAAAACTAGTGGATGCTACTTGAAATGTCTGACAATTTTCAAAACGTACCCAGTTGCTTGAGTAACAATTTCCTTGTGAAAAGATAAAGATGGTCTGTTCTGAAAAGTGTCTGTGAAAACCCTGCACTTCCAACTCTCCCACCACCACATGGCCGTCACCGTGCACTGTTGTGTCCCTGTCATTTTTCAGACTCAGAACCGGAGGCTGAGGCCAGCCAGCCGCCCCTGGGTAATTCACGCATGCTGCTTTGCTACATTTCCCATTTAGATGCTAGACTGTAACCAGGCTTCAGAAGCGACAGGAAAGAGTTGATATTGGCCAAATAGACTCACAGATAACATGATAATAATTGCCAGGGGAGTTGTTGGTCCACTAAAGGAGTATGGTTTGCCGCTCCCGAAGCCTGTTAGGGACGCCATGATCAAACGGTATAAAAAATTAAAGTAATCCCCCCATTATTCCAACAAAAGAAGAATCTCAGTGCTCAGTGAAGATCATTTAAGCTGAAGATCATTAGATCTAGAGAAGATCGGGACTGGCAAACTGTACTCCTTTAACGGTCCAACTCCCCCGGCATGTTATCTGTCTATCTTGCCAATTTCCACTCTTTCCAGCTGCTTCTGAAGCGTGGTAGAGGCTTAGAAGATGCACCAATTTAGAACTTTTGGTCTATCTTGAACTAAAATAAGCGATGACAATAAAAAAATGTACAAATCTCCAAGGTTCTCTTCAAATGTCTTCTGACCAATATTTCATCAGAACTTTGTAGGATACCTGACAGAAGTGATTAAAAGTCAGACATTTTTACTCTGATCAACATTTTTCCAATCCTCTATAATTATGCTTCTGTCTGACTAAAGCCCAGATGCACAGGTCAGGTGGGACATTCATGGCACATGGCACAGCTCTGGAGACCTTGAGCTGACTACATAGACTGTCCATGTGTCAAATTATCTGCTGTGTGAGCAAAAAGAATCCCCTTGGACAAGTTACATTGAGAGGATAATCACTCAACTGAGTCATTCAGAAGCTTGAAACATCCTATGCTAGATTGGTGCATTTTCTTGTACATTTTGTAACAGTGAGTTCAGTATGAAGTGTAATGTGTGATGGGGTTTTAACATTTTCTTACAGAATTCTAAGACTTTAATTCAGAAGTACCGGGTAGTTAGGTACAAGCTCAATAATGACTGTTTGTTGATGAAAGTTCTGTCCATTTTGAGCAAACCACAGGGCATGAGGGCAATGATGAATATGACAGACTGTCATCAAAACGTTGGCTCTTGCTAAACAAGAGTGGTTGTGAATAAAGAACTTTGCCATAATTCAATCATCAACCAACCTGATAAAATTATTCATGCAGCTTGATTGTCAATTGAGTACATGTATGTCAGATCACACGGCAGATTACATATGGTGCTCATCATCATGATCATCATTCATCCTCTGTAGTAGAGGTGGAGCATACAAAGTTAGCTCGCCACAACTGTCTGTCATACATTACAGAGAAAAGTTCATGTCCCTCCAAGCCAGTTTCAGTTTCAATAAGTTTCTTAAGTGTTATGTTTGGGCGTCCAACTCTTCTCTTACCGGTATGGTGCTACCATCACTAATCCGCTGTCGTCTTCCCCCGTCAGACCTGAACTCCTTCCCGAACGCGTTCGAGGAGAAGGAGCCGAAGGAGCCGCCGGTGGAGCTGATTCCGGAGGAGGTCCTGCTGGGTACGGCCCACCTGCCGTCGCCTCTGCTGGTGTTCGCAGGCATGGGCGGGCTGGCGCTCATCGCTGAACATCTGCCTCTGCTCTACCCCGAGATCACCAGACAGGTCAGCAACTTTTTTTTTTAATCCTCACATTGAGGAACATAATACAGCACAAAGTGGTAGCACACTCAAGTAGTGATAATCGTTTGTCAATGTCAATCCTTCAACAATTGTGGTAAATCGGCTGGCTCTCATCGCTGAACATCTGCCTCTGCTGTACCCCGAGATCACCAGACAGGTCAGGACCTTTTTTTTTAATCCTCACATTGAGGGACATAATACAGCACAAAGTGGTAGCACACTCAAGTAGTGACAATATGGTGAATCGGCTGGCGCTCATCGCTGAACATCTGCCTCTGCTCTACCCCGAGATCACCAGACAGGTCAGGAACTGTAGTTTGTTTAATCCTCACATTGAGGAACATAATACAGCACAAAGTGGTAGCACACTCAAGTAGTGACAATATGGTAAATCAGCTGGCGCTGATCGCTGAACATCTGCCTCTGCTGTACCCTGAGATCACCAGACAGGTCAGGAACTGTTTTGTTTAAAGTTAAAACTTTTGGTCCAACACAAAAAATTCTCTCACCTAGAGCTTTCGACCAGTCACTCTGGTCTTCCTCAGTAGACTGACCCAGTGAGGCTTGTCACATGGCTCCTTTCAAGTGTGACGTCAACACTGGGTCAAAGGTATCTGGTAGACGATGTCGACCCCCGTCGCGGTTCAATGTAGTGTTGACATCACACTTGAAAGAAGCCACGTGACAAGCTTCACTGGGTCAGTCTACTGAGGAAGACCAGAGTGACTGGTCGAAAGCTCTAGGTGAGAGAATTTTTTGTGTTGGACCAAAAGTTTTAACTTTAAACATGTAACTACCAACACAGATGAACTTTCATGATCAGGAACTGTTTGTTTGTTTGTGCCTTTATTTAAACTCAATAGTTACCCCATTTAGCCATTTAGGCCACTTTTCATGGAGGTCCAGTACAAGTTGAAAGGAGTGTTCATGGGTCAAACAAATGTTCAATAATAATAATAATAATATTTGTCAAAATAAGTAACTGAAAACAGTATCAATGATACAAAGAGATAAATAAAATGAATAAATAAATAAACAACAGTAACAAAAACAGGTCATCACGTCATTACGTCCATAATTGTTCCATAAGGGTGACAATAGTCTTTTGAACTGTAGCATGTTAAAGGTGCCACCACACTTATCGAAAAGACTGGGGGTCCAATGGTTTCTGTTTTATGCTGTAGGTGCAGACCCCCTGTGTGGGATCAGGCTCTGAGAAGCTCGGTGACAGTGATAAGGAGTATCCCATGGAGTGGGTAGCAGTGGACCAGACTGGGGAGCTTACCTATGAGGTTAGTCTGTGCTGTCTTACACAGGAAGCAACAATAATTTTCCCATAATGGGAATACAAAGAACTGAGAAAATGTACAAAGGAGGCAATCACATGATTGCCTTAGCCCTGTACGCCATATTTAAGTCCTGGATCGTGTATAAAGAGAACGAATGTTTTGATGAAATAAATTGCTTTTCAATATTTTACAAAGATCTTAAAAACATAGTATGCATAGAATATAACATATCAGATACAAAGCGTTTTGAAAGATTTGACTGCTCTGGTAGTTAAATACCGCTGGGTTTTCTAGAGATACACTTCTACATAAAATGTAGCTGGCATGAATTGTGTTCCAATTTGATTGTTACATTCGTTGTACAATGTAGGTCATCGTACATGTAGGTCTCAAATAGTATGATGACCTACAATGTAGGTCATCATACTATTTCGATGCTGTAGGATTTTCTAGCAGGCTTGTACTGTAATGCTGTAAATCACTTTATACATGTATTCACTGTAGTAGCAAAATTTTTGCAGTGGCAGCAGGTGCAGAAAAAAGAAAGTTGGGTAATTATTTGTTTGGGGTAATGATAAATTTTAGGGTACAGAAGTGACCACAAAAACCACAAATATGAAGTGATTTACAGTACTATATAATACAATATACATATATATATCATTCCCACAGATCACAAAAACCACAAATATGAAGTGATTTACAGTATATAATACAATATATATATCATTCCCACAGATCCCTGAGCAGGTGACTGTGTCAGGGTCGGACACCAGTAAACCGTCTGCCCCCCGGCCGAGCGCCCGGGCTCCCCCCGCCATTCCCCCCCACTCCCTGGCCGCGTTTGGACTGTTCCTGCGGTTGCCTGGATACGCGGAGGTCCTGCTGAAGGAGAGGAAGAGGGCGCAGTTCTTACTCAGGCTGGTGCTGGGAGTCATGGACGATGGAGACGGAGGTGAGGTCACTTTACAAGATTCGATGGAATTTTCTGGAATACAATCTAAAAAATATCATATTTCAGAGAACTAGTATGTCCACAACTCGTGATTTTCGAAAATCTGCCGTAGTACCAAGGAAAGCTGCCAAGGGGTCCAAAATCCTAATTTCCTAACCACCTACCAAGTTTCATGACAATCCATCAATAGCTTCTTGAGTTGTCGTGTTAAACTACACAAATGTTACCAGAAACAAAATGTTCTAGGTGAAGATAACGACAAATTGTACAATGGCTTATACCACTATCATAATGATGCATCTGTACACAACAGCTTCACAGGCACGCAGTACAGTGACAGCTGGCTATATTACACTGAACGACCTGTTACACCTAACCTTTACACATCCAACTGTTACCTGCCTACGTACCTGCCTGCCTGCCTAAATGCCTAAGCCAGAACTGGCCCCTTGCTCCTCTTCATTTTTTCCCGCCAGGCAGCACGGTCCTTAGCCTTTTGTTTGGCAAGCTTGAGGGACCATCCTGTGTCATGTATTATTACTATCTGGTCCAGCCATCTTTTGGGGGGTCTTCCTCTAGGCCTATATGGTTTTCGAAATCCTGGCAGTAGGCCCCATATACAAAAGAGTCTGGGGGTCTTCTCTGAGCGTGACCAAACCACCTCAGCCTTCTTTTACGAATACCCTCAAGTATGGTATTTTCCATTCCCAGCATAGCTTGAATTTCCTCATTTTTAACGTGGTCTCTCCTTGAGACATTAAGGAACTGTTACATGTAACTGTAAATTAAAAATTTTTCCCAGGCCACATCCTGTCGTCGCCCATCGCCACGTCTCTGCCCACCCTGCCGTTCTCCGTGCTGAAGCAGCTGTTTGACTCGGCGCCCCTCACCACGGACGACGGCGTGCTGCTCCGCAGGATGACGCTGGAGATCGGCGCACTGCACCTCATCCTGGCCTGCCTGTCCGTCCTCAGCCACCACGAACCACGTGTGCAGGTCACCGGACTGGCACAGCCAGAGGTAATGTTTGGGGGTGGGCTGGACTGTGTAACATGTGTTTGATTTTACTATGTATATCACCAGGCCATGGGAGCATTCTATTTTGTTCAGTTTCTGTTCCTACATGTATTTGCTGTACAGTCAAATTTACCCCAGAAGACCACTCAGGGACTGATGAAATCTTGACTATGTAGACAGGTGGTCACCATAGTCAGGAATTCTTAATGCTTGTGTCTAGTGATGCATACCTAAACCCAATTTTAGGTTCAGGTCCGGATTCAAGTCCAGAGGTTTAGGTTCAGTTCCGGACATGTACGTCCGGACCTAAACCCATGGCATATACAAAATTGCATGTTGGCAGCCTTGCAATGTTGTCTGGGTGAAACTTTGGCAACATAACATGGAGGCCGGTACTTGACGATGTCCAATGACAATGTTTTCTTCGTTTTGCAGCAAAGATTTTACAATCTACGGAGGGTTTTAGGTGGTTTGGAAAGAAAAGGGGTATGTGAAATGGTCTTTTATGGTAATAAGTCCGGACTCGGTTCTTGACTTTTAGTTTTTTTTGGACTTGAACCTAAACATTCTTACAAGTCCGGATCCAAGTCCAGTGAACCGGTATGCAGCACTTAGTCTACTTGTGTCAGTGGGAAAATTATCTACGGGACCATAAAAAGAGAGGTGGCCCTTACATGTATGTAAAGGTTGCCACTTGAACCTGTCCACATATTAAACATGTAGATCTGTCCCCTGCCCCTGAGTGGTCTTCTTGGGCAGGTTTGATTGTACCTTTCACATACAGCCCTCTCACATTGCTCCCTGAAATTACATGCTTCTGCTGGAAATACAAGTCACAGCCACAGACTGAAGTAGTTGCAGCAGAAAATCATATCCAGTGGCTGAGTATGGTAACGACCAATGTATATATAATTGATACATTGTGTACATATTTTGTCAGGACAACTGTAATATTGTATTATGACATGCTGCATTAGATGTACATGTAGCAGTTCAGTACTGTTTGTTTGATGATGGGTGGAGGAGTCATGTTGTTTTCTCACCCTAACCCAGACCTCTACTGGACAGAATGGGGAAAAATCCAGTGAAAAGCCGAATAACGGCAAGGTGTGGCTTTCATTCTATGTCTAGTGTTGGTTTATCTTTAGAAGAAAGGGACTTGGGACCATGTCTTGTTCATTGTTCTTGTTCAACGATGAAAAATATCTATTTTTACCCAAGAATCCTCAGTCCCACTTTGTGTGTTTGAATGACTGTAAACTTGAGAATTTTTAGTATCTTGATATTATATTTTATCCTTAGCTGTGTAGAGGAAGTAAGATATAGGTACATGTACATGTACATGTACGTTTGGACTGTGTCTTCTGAAGATTACCATAATCAAGTACTCCCATCACTTAGCCGCTGTCTCTAATCTTTACTTTTAACAACTGTTGATGCTCCATGCCTTATTGTTTTATAGTAACTGCTTTGTGCACTGGTGGCATTTCATAACACCAGGTTCTATGACATAACTCTTGAGCTGTCAGAATTACCTCAACTTTCCAGCTTTTACTTCACAGTGAATAGTTGCTATTGTTTCTTAACAGTTGCAGTAAATAGTTTGCCTAATCTTTTTCAGCCAATTTTCATTGCTGTACTTGCATTGTTGATGATAGGTGTTGCAAAAAGTGCTTTAATCGTGGACAGAAATAACTTTCAACACTTTTATTAATAACTCCTGCTGCCGTAATCTGTTTATCAACAAGCTTTACAGTGACTATTGTCTGTAAGTGAACTATATAATTGATAGTATTCAACATGTTGGAGATGTATATCTTGCTATAATTATTTTTCTGTATTCTGCTCATCTTGTTACTGCACAGAATTGGGCATTGACCCATAGGCTATGCCATTCTTTTTAAGAAGTAGGAAGTGTTCTCATGAATAATATGGTCTTTTATCCATAAAACAAGTTGTCATGTGTGTATAGATCTTGACAACTCTGTACGACTGGATTGATACAAGGTTTTATTAGACGTTTTGGTCACCATCAGATCGATGATCTTCATCAGTGAAATAAATGGAAAATGATGCATATAACACAGATATCTTTAACGCTGATTGGTCAATATCTTAAACTCGAGCAGAGCGCCCTGCACTAGAAAGACACAGAAAAAGATAATAAAAGGAGGAGTGGTCCGATCTCTGTCATTCTTGAGAAAGACAAATAAAGTCGAAACCGTTTGAATTCCATCTCATCGCTGTCATTTTCCCAGCGCTACATATAGAATACAACACGGGGTATTCCGTATCGCCCGAGGTATCGGCCCGACCGCGGGTCGGATCGCCCGACGCCCGCAGGCAGGAGGGCGATCCGACTCGCGGGAGGGCCGGGACCGAGGGCGATGCGGAATACACCGTGTTGTATTTTATTTATATCATACCCACCCAAGAAAATGCGCCTTTCAATGCAACATGAGCCAAAAGTTGGTGCCACTAATATCTCAAATGCAACAACATCAGTTCCAACGTCCGGATTCTGTATTCGAATTTTCGAAAGGGGCACAAGCGGTTAGGGAGAAACGCGTTCGAACCGTTTTATGGAAGCCATGGAGGCGTTCGATAACGGGTTCCGGACCGGGCCGTACCGTAAAGTACGGCCCGCTCCGGAACCCGTTATCGAACGTTATCGCGGCCCGGGTATGATATAAAAATGATATATCAACACACTTTTCCTTTTCTTTCACTGATAAAGATTACCAGACGGTGATCAAAGCATTTAATTTAATAAAACTTTGAATCAGCACAGTTGTACAGATTTATGAAGATCTATGATGTCATATTCTATAATACTCCTGGATGAGCAACCATCACGCAGTTGTTAATCCGTCCTGTGGTGGGTTTGTTGTAGATCTTCCCGACAGCACAGGAGCCCTCGGCACCGGAGACGGGGCAGGAGAAGGGCCAGCTGTACTGGGCGAAGGGCACGGGGTTCGGCACGGGGTCAACCACCTCGGGCTGGGACGTGGAGCAGGCACTCACTCGCCAGCGCATGGAGGAGGAACACGTTACCTGTCTGCTACAGGTCAGCAGATACTGTCATTATGATTACCGAAGGAAAAGATATTGTTTTTGCTATCTTTCTTCCTCTTCTTCTTCTCCAAACACTGACCTCTGACCTGACCAATGACATGATTTGTTGACATCTGTCACCATGGTGACTGGTTTTGGGTTACATAATGTTGCAATTTCATGGTCTACTCTGCTCCTGTCACTATATACTAGTAGTACATGTATGAACTATGATTGTGAATGTGTTTGAGTAAGAATTAACAGAGCAGACCATGTCCGAAGGTAAACATTATGCATTTTGCTTTGCAAATGTTACTTCTCTAGTTCACTTTATGTTCGCGGTACCAAAAGTTTGTGGTCTGAGAAAAATGGACATGTTTGTGGGACTATATGTTTGCGGTGGCAGCAGGTGCAGCAAAAAGAAAGTTGGCAAATTATTTCTTCACGGTAATGATAAAGTTCAGAAGTGACTGCAAAAACTGTGAATATAATAAAGTACTGCATAAAAATCGTGATTTACAGTAAGCCTTTTGGCATTTCTAATCAGTAGCATATTTGAGAATCAGCCAGAGATCTTTAGGAAGGGTGCCATTCTAGGTAGAGTTCTGTTGAACTGGGTGGTGGTTTATCCAGGGTATGCAGGAGGAACATGTTACCTGTCTGCTACAAGTGAGCAGTTTTCTCTCATTAGTCAATCCCGGATTATTCAAAGTTAGTTCAAAGCACTAGTCTAGCCAGCCAGAATATTTTTCCATCCTCTTAGTTTTTGTTTGACATACATATAGCATGTCTCATGTGTAGCAACACACATATCTGTGAGGCAAAAATGCAATATCACTGACGGAGAATGGTTGCTTGTTCCGTATCGTAGGCTGGTTCTACTTATTTATTGGTGGCACCAAAAAATAAAGGAACACCTCATGTAGCTTGTTTGGGGGCTATTTCAAACACTTCAAGTATGAAATTATGATGACAATGCGTTAAGAAATGGCAGTAAATATTAATATCAAACAGTTCCTAGTGAATTCTTTCATCAGTGACAACTTTGGAAGGATAAGGATACTAACCTCCAAATTTTCGATGGCTATCAGTCCATCTTGTTCACGGAGTGGCCTAATCTCGCGAGAGTGCGAGACTAGGCCCAAGACTTCCATCGGTCTCCTTATCCTTCCAAAGTTGTCACTGATGAAAGAATTCACTAGGAACTGTATCTATACGTGACAAATGAATCTCTTCAATAATATCAAACAGATTTCATCATCCAAAATATTTTTTATCCGCAGGTCCTTGCCAGCTACATCAACCCCGGAGGCCACGTGCCTGACGAGGATGGAGAGGAGGGGGGGCAGGTGGAGATGTTGTCAGTGCAGCAGACCGCCCTTCCCACCATCATCCCGGAGCTGCTCAGTCACTCCTGTCTCATCCCTGCTCTGTCGTCTTACCTACGCAACGACTCAGGTAGGAGCAACTTACACGCACATGTACCTTCTAACTGTGACAGTGTTGTATCTCCTGTGACATAGTTTTGCATTGTTTATTCTGCAAAACATTCTGTGTTGGCAGGGTTGGACAAGTTTTCAAAAATCCACTTGCCTTATCGGGCAAGTACATGGTCATTTCCACTTGCCCGAACCAACTTTTTACTTGCCCAAAATATGACACATTTCTATGCATTTTACTAGCAGAAAGAGTTTATGATGTTGGATGCTTTATTTATCAAAATTGTTTAAAACTTGGTTGAAATACTGCAGGGGCTAATACTTTGCATCCAAAAAATGTACTTGCCCAATCGGGCAAGTACAGGGGGATATTTACTTGCCCAAACAGTGCTTTTACTTGCCCTGGGCAAGTGGGCAATGGGACTTGTCCAACCCTGGAACTTGGTATCGTTGGCTAGTATACCAGCTTTGCGCAGTGCGACAGCAGCTGGTTATATTACGCTCTGGTTATATTACACTTTGTTTGTTACATACAGCATACAAGAAACTTTTAATGCTTGTCACATTCCCACTAGTAATACTGATTTTGAGCTTCCCGGCTCTCTCATCATACCTACGCAATGACTCAGGTAGGAGCAACTTACATGTACCTTGCAGTATTGCATCTGCTGTGACAGATTTGTTATGTTTTGTTTATGCTGCAAAACATTCTATCTAATAGTATCTGTCTTGGTACTAGTCGTTTGTTGTCGAAGATATCTATTAGCATCCTCATTCACTTGGGATTGTGACCTCATGTGGCTCTGAGTCCGAAGCTCAAGGCCCACAGTTGTACACACTTGGGCATTGGTGGTCCGTTGTCAAGACCACATTCTGTATAGCTGGTATAACTGCCCTTCGGCATAACGTACCAGTTTTGCAGGTGCGCGGTGCGACATTAGCTGGCTACATAACAGTGAACAATCTGCCAAACCAAACCATTGCACATCTAGCTGCAATATAATGTACATGACATGTATATATATTATTGTTGTTTAAAGCTAGCTGTGTATTTTTTGAGCATACTCTAATCTACTTGGCAATGAGTTCCACTCTACAATAGTTCTAGGAAAAAAACAAGTTTTTGAATGCCACAGTCCTTGAAATTGTGACACTGGTTGTTTGTTACATATTGCAGACAAGGAAAACTTTATGCTTTTGACATTCCCACTGGTAATTTACTGATTTTGAGCTCCCTTTTAGAAAGTTAGTCTCAACCCAGCTCACCTTGTGTGACATACACGCAGGTACAAAATGTGTTTTTTGTCATCCCACGCTGGATAAGTGGTCTGCATTGTCTGCAAATCAGTCTCTGTCACAGAAGTCCTGTGCAGATAAGCCTGAGTCCCCTCCATCAGCTGACAGCCGTGCCTGAGGCAGTGTTATCTCCTGCAGTTGGCAGCCCTTTTACTGTCTGATTAGGGCATTCTCAAAGATAGGCAAAGTTAGAGTCAATATTTCAGTGTTCTTTCAAGTTTTAGAGGGAAAGGACTTGAGGACCTGAATTGCACCCTACATGTTGAATAATATATAATGTTCTCCGCCCTTTTGCTCTACAATGGGTGGTCTTGTACTTGTCAAACAATACCAGGTAGATTGTTGTTACAGTAGGCTTTTTAACATGGTGTAGCATTATTTCCATTGTGTAAGACTAATGCAGCTATATATGCCTTATTGCTTGTTGCTGTCCTTAGAAGTGGTATGGCTATATACAGGTCGGGAACTGTCTTTCTCCTACCATATATCTTCATACTTAAGTTGTTTGTTTATTTATTTCTGTCTTCTTTATACAGGGTAGACGCACTCAGTACAATATACTGCTTTACAGGCGTGCCCTGTTCAGATAGACATAAACACCAACAACAGTAAACAAAATAACCAAAAGTAACATATATATACACAAGCGAGCATCAAAATCGATGGATCAGGCTGGGTCGAGAGGTCAGAGGTCAGCAATGTTGTTTTATCAGCTTCTTGAAAGGCCAGACGTGACCACCCTAACTGTACCAGGCAACTCATTCCATGCAAATGCACCCCTGTATGCAAATTTTCTACGGCCAGATTCCAGTTTAACTTTAGGTAGTTGTTTGCAATGTAAGTTGAACACTGGATTGATTAGCACAGTGTATAACTCAGTACTGTCCTTGGTGCTGAAAGTTGTTGTGTGTTCAACTGGTGTCAGTGGAAAGCAGCAGCATCAATTTAGTTATTAGATGTACTTAGAAACAGGCCCTGCTGTTTTAAGAAAACTTTCTGCTTTTGAAGTACCATTTGTACACACCAGCTATCATAAAGACCCTTTTATCATAAAGTGTTTTATGGTAGCGGAAGCACCCATTTTTTCACCCGGGATGTCTAGGCTCCAGCATGCTCAACAACTTTTCTCCACAATTGCCCTTTGATGGTGGTCCAATTCTTTGGACTGTCCCCATTTAGTCAGCAGCTTTATCGTGTTTTGGGAACTACATTTTTGTAAAATTTAGGTCTTTTTGTTTACCTGGGTGTTTATATGCTGACTTGATAGGAGTAGCTAGCTTTTTATGGTACATCAAGTTCCAGTTCAAGTTTATTTATTTTAGGCCACACCAATTTAATTTGTTGGTTAACAGATTTGCCCGCTCCTTTTTTTCTGATTTGCAAATAAAAATAAAAATTCAGAATCAACTGCAAAATGCTCATATTTTGCCCTGAATACAGTTATTCCATCTTTCAATGCAATGGTATCATGAAAAGTTCAAAATTAATTGTTTAAATTTTGAGCCAGCCCGGTGTGTTGACTTCATGGCTCCTATCGTACTATTTTGGGCCATTTATTTTTCGCCTGCCCGCTCATTTATTTTTCTAGAAAAATCCGTTAACCAAGAAATTAATGACTTCTGATGAATGTCACAGAATGTGGTACTTTTGTCAATGTCGTAACGCAATTCAGCCTTTTTGGCTGCAAAATTTGTGGCATTGGTTTTGAACTAAATAACTAAACCATTCATTATTACTTTTGTACTTGATTTTCTTGCAATTCAAAGTGTTATTTTCTTCATTACCTTTGGGTAGAAAATTAAGATGAAGGGAAAGTTATTTCAGTCTGACATTACTTGTATCAAGATGAACGCTGTTTTGGGGAGTAACATTCTCCTGAGGGCTGAAAATACCATTATAGTGAATGCCATGAAACGTTTGATGAATGTGGACTCTTAACAACTACATTGATTTCAGGCGGTGTTCCAATTAGTTTTCAACAGTTTTTACATTGTATTTCTGTCTCGCAGTAATTGGAACCACATCTCATAGCAGAATAATTACCACATATATTGGACAAGGCTTTAGCCATTACAAATGGCCAGTCTTGGGGTAACTGACGGGAAGTTTTTGTATATGAATGAATGAATGAATGAACTTTATTGCTCGATACATAGTACAATGTGTGGCAGTAATACAACAATACTACAAAACTAGATTATCTTATTACATTTCTTACTACAAACTACTATCTATACAGTATATGGGTTACAATATGGTCATGTATTGATGATATGGTCTCGCTTATGAAATACAGTGTACAGAAATTGGCCTATGTAGGCAGATATGGTAGTTGGACATGACAATAATTTATGGAATGTATCGTATTTGTGTAGCATGATCAAAGGTTTCAGCAACTTTCAACTTTATTTGTTCAACCAGGTACATGTATCATACTCAGGCCACTCTGGCCTGTTTTTCAGGAAATCCTGGTACAAAAGCACAGACAAACACCTAACAGTTGAACAGATTCACAATACATCCAAAAGTCTAAAAATAACACAATCGTCATAGATAAAACTAATCTTAAATACAATTCGATAAAAACTGTTTAAAAGTTCTGAGACTAGGCTGCTGTCGTTGTTGTAGGGGGAGTGAGTTCCAGAGGTAAGGTCCATAGTACTGTAAGCTGTTCCTGTATGACTCTTGCTGGTGAATTTCATCTGTTTGATCCATTCAGCAGTTTCCTGTCACATGTACCACTCGTGTGTCTCTGCTGATAGCTTAATTTCACTTTTGTTCAGTGTTCTCGCCAGGCCTTTTGAGCATAGTGGCCCCCTATGCTGTAAATTGTACCCCCTATGCTGTGATTGGACCCCTATGCTGTCTTTCAACCAGCATAGGGGTGTCTTTTCTGGAAGAACTTTCATGAATCATGAAGAAGAAGAAAATATGACTTTAGAATTAGGCTATAGCAATGGGAAAACCTTAACTTCACAAAATCTCTCCCTCCATAAGTGAGAAATAGTGTCTCAGGGGGTTATGAGTGTCAATTTTTTTGGGCTCAATGCACGACTTGCACTGCAAAAGTTGCCTTTCTGTACCTGACCCCTATGCTGTGAAAAAATCCTGGTGAAAACCCTGTTGTTCCATGATTGAGACGAAGGGGTGATGTGGATTAATGTGTCTGATTGCAAGGTATTCTGAGTTAATACAATCAATCTATTCTGATGTGCAAATCAATCTGGGTCATCTCCAATACTTGTTCTTTTCAATCCACCACAGTCATCTATATTATACACATTCCCACTCCAACACATCACACAGGATCTCCAATATTCAAGCCAGGACTTCCTGCAAATGCACGTGTATCGACTCTCTCGTGCAAACTAGCAACAGTCTGCTCCCTTTGTGTCTGGTACAGCTGTGTCGGGAAACAAATGATTGCCACTTGTGCTCACATTCATTTTCTCATGTATCTCATGTATATCTGTCTGGAGTGAAAGCTGGCAAACTAGTTGAATGTGTATTCATCTATTTCATGATTCACCAACATCTATCTTCATTAAATTTTGCTGTAACTTTGAGAAACTTACAATTCATTCAATTGTAATTATGCAACTGCTTAAGTGTGTGCTTTATTCCATTGATCTATTTTTACTTTGTGTTGGGGATGAAGATCTCTTTTGCTGTCAAGATGTTAACCTTAATTACTGAGTTGATGGATGAGAAATAGTCCCGATT